CATTTAGATGATAGGATTGGTTCAGATGTTTAGTTTTGATTGAATATATTTTATTATTTGGATTGAGGTTTAGTAATCAGATGAGACAAGACTTGAACTTCACCGTGACGGCTTCGCAAGATCAAATAGACGACGAAGTCTGTTGGCTAGCTATTTGTATCTTAGGTCGTACTTAAAAAAGATGGAAGTAATAAAATAATGATGATACTTTTTACTAAGGAAATTATTTTAATTCATTTTGCATTTTTTGTGCAATATGTCATTACAAAAAAATCATTTGACAATAGCATGAAATTATAAACAGGGAAATACCCAGGATTGCTAGTTTGGGCTTGAGTCACTTTTGCGTGAGATGAAAATCAACCTTATTTTTGGAAACAGCAAGGGACCGAAGATATGTATAACAGTACTAGCTGTTGATCTTTGAAGGACTTAGGCATGGTCAGGCAGTTATTGCATAATTTGAAAGATATGTGGTGCTTAAATATGAAGATTATAATAACATCTCATAAGGATCTGACTTTCTAGTCCACAATTTTACTTCAGTTATTATCAGGAGACATTCCAGATCAACAAACAATGACAAAAGTAAAGTTTTATTTTATTTTTTTCCTATTTTTTTATTTAAATCGATATTTGGAATTCATTTCTATAAACTTGGAACCAAGGATTTGTAGTAATCATTGTTTGTTGGAACGTAGTCCGAGATTACTCTGACGTCCAACGGCTGTTTTGCCAGACAAGCTGGGGCCGTGGGACGTCAGAGCTCGTCCCATATCAAAAAGTGGATATTTGCCCGTCCAAAATAGATGCGCTGCTTCGTCGCTTCTGGTGCAAATGGACGGCCTTGGAATTATATAAATCGGGTATCAATTTGTTCATTTTTCATTTATCTCTTCTTTATGTAAGTTTCACCTACCTGCCACCATTTATTTTCTCATATTTAGACAGTTTTCACAGTGACCCACCGATTCTGGCATTTTGACTTTCATTTTGAAAGATTGTCATGTGATCACGAGAAAAAAGTAAGGCACAATGGACTATGGGAAATGATGTATGCATATGACCCTAGGTCAATATGAATATATAATCTAACACCTCGCTCATTTACGATGCAAGCAATGTAAATATCCGAGAGCTTCCGAATGTTATCGTGGTTGGCACTAAATGCTTAATACCGATCTCCTGTAAAGGAGGTGAAAAATCGTGGTTGGCTACTAAATGTTAAATATTGATCTATAAAGGAGGTGAAAAAAGTATAAATATTTGCATATTTGAGTCTCGAGGTTGCGAAATCTCTCGTAACTTGACGTCCATTTGAAAATAAAAGTAAAAATGTCTGAATCGATGGGTCACTGTGAAAACTGTCTAAATATGAGAAAATAAAGGGTGGCAGGTAGGTGAAACTTACATAAATGAAGAGATAAATGAAAAATGAACAAATTGATACCCGATTTATATAATTCCAAGGCCGTCCGTTGGCACCAGAAACGACGAAGCAGCACATCTATTTTGGACGGGCAAATATCCACTTTTTGATATGGGACGAGCTCTGACGTCCCACGGCCCCAGCTTGTCTGGCAAAACAGCCGTTGGACGTCAGAGTAATCTCGGACTAGTTGGAACGGTTCTAATGACTGTACATTTTATTAAAAAGAAAAGATCATGTTTAACTCTCGATTTTTAAGCGAAATGAAAACAGTAAGTGACACGAAGATAATAAATTCAGATTGAAACCGATTCATCTGCGGATTGGTTCCTGTTTTACAAAAGGCAGGAAATTATCATAATTTCTAAATCAAGTTGCTAAGCAAGAAATATATTTGTCTCCTTTGTTTATTTTTAAACTAAACATGCTAAATGATTTCTTATTTTACGTTTTAAATTTAATGTCTCATTTATCATGTTTATAACAATACTTTCACGCATGCACAGTACATAGTAAAGGAAGCACCTGTTTGACTTGTGGAAATACTTCCAAAAGTTTTAAATAAAGATCTTTCTCTTTTATAGAAAACGTTGAAAGTTTTCAGGTTTTGATGAAAAGTTGTATCAAATATGACGAAAGTTCGTTCATATGTTGAAACTACTCATAGGAACTGCAAATTAGGATCATTTGAGAAATATTGAAAATAAAATGTGAAATGTGTGAGGGAGATTATATTAAAATGATGAAACTATGTTAAACGAACTGCAAATTGTGGTCTATTTTGAGAAAAATGACATTGAAATGCTGACTGACGGATTTTACTGGAAAAGATATGTATGATCGTCAATAATTTATAAGGTGATTTAATTAAAGGATTAGTGACCCATCCAATGACGATAAGCGGATTACAGGTTTATGAAAACTTATTACACCTGTTGAATACCTTAATCATGTTAATTAGATGAGGGTCATAAACTTGTCAAAAACATATATCATGTATATAGGCAGGTAGAATTATAGTTTTTTCATTCAAAACTATTTTTACACTTTACAAATTTAAGTGACGAAATTGATTTGAAAAAAACTTTCGTCATTTTGAAAAACTTTTCGTAAATGATGCAAATGACGAGTGCTAGCAAAATCACTGAAATACCAAACCTCAGTATCTTCATGATGAAGGTTAGCTACGGAATTATAGCTCTTATGGTCCTTATGATATTTTTAACAATTTGCGGAAGTAGCTGTTGAACTGTAATATGGTCCTAACATGCCTAATGATATTTTTTGACAAATTGCGCAATACGAGTCAGTGTCCTAAAATTTCGTCAATTATTCTCGAAAGTAACAATAATTATTTCTTATTGTTACTTTTTGAGGGTAATCATTACCAGTGCCGTAACAATAATATGAGGCAAGTGTTGCCTGTAAATGAGGACTAAGCGTGTATAAATTACTATTTAAATACTGATTTTTGCATAATTAAAACAGCAGCCATGTACATATAACACGTTTCTTGTTTTCAGAGAAAACCTATGACTGAGAGCTGTTATTATTAATAAATGACTACCAAATTGAATTCAAAGCATAGTTTCTGTTGAAAAAGTTACTGAAATACAGAAATGTATCCCATGATCATGATGATGGTCCTGTTTGTTGTTAGGCGTTTGGTATATAAAATCATTTTTAATGTAAACAAAGAAATGTTATCTACCATGTCTACAGGTAACATTTTGGATTACATCTACATGTATCAGTATACACCTTATCGCTATTTAGTCCATTCTGGAAAAAACAGTCATTCAGTGTTGACTGCTGACCCCCTATTTTTGACATTTTTTCCTATTATGTCTGTTTGTTTTGTTCACACATTGTTGTCACTATAATCATGATAATGGAATTTTAAGCTACTGTCATACAAGTGAGAGGTTTAGCTAGCTATAATACCAGGTTCAATCCACCATTTTCTACATCAGAAAATGCCTGTATCAAGTCAGGAATATGACAGTTGTTGTCCATTCGTTTGATGTGTTTGAGCTTTTGATTTTGCCATTTGTTTAGGGACTTTCTGTTTTGAATTTTCCTCAGAGTTCAGTATTTTTGTTATTTTACTTTTTATTTTAGACAACTTCTATTTATTAGTATTGCAAAAACAAAGGTCACCAGTGCTGAGCTGATGGAGGAAAAAGTTAAGCAAGTGAACATTTTGAAGTTTTGATAGTTTATGGTTCAATTTTTTAAAAGTTTAAAAAATGCTTTGATTAAAGTGTTCACTGTAGTTTATGCACTTTACATTGTTTAAACAGACCCCAGATAGCTTCAACTGGATTAAAAAGCTGTGTATTTTCAGAACTTTTCCGGTTTGGAATAAATAGCGATAAAGTGTACTTCCTGTACAAAGTATTTCCCAGGCTGGGCATACAAAAATAGAATGCTATTATTCCTTTTATCAGCAATTTGTCTTGACAATATGTTTTATAGTTAAGAAAATGAAATAAAACGAAATAAAATATAAAATAATTTTTTACACATACTAAAAGATGTAATAATTGTTCCAAATCGTTGAATGAAGGTGCATGCATTTCAGTGATAAACATGATAAATTGATGCAGATTGATCATGTTGATATGCACATGTGATGTTGATGCACTAATATGTGACGTCATTGCCTTATATTTTCCAGTATCCAGGTCCTGACTATGATCTAAACAAATATTAGTCAGTAAGATCAAAAGGAAAAACTACAAATTGCAGATAATAACTTTTATTTGATAAAAAATGATAATTGCAGAAAAAAATATCTATTGTTTTAAGTCTCTTATACTGGCAGTCAGGGGTACTACTTGTACAAGTAATTTTTATTTACTTGAAGAAGTAATATTAATATACTTATATAAGTAAATTTGTAGGATACTTATACAAGTGTATTTTATTTACTTGTATAGGTAAAAAAAAATTGGCTTAGTTATGTCCCTTAGACATTCAGATTTTTTTACTTATCTTCTTTTCTTGAATTCTTAGGACTTCTTTGCTCTAATAGAATTTTAAATTGTTTGTCCTTTGCAGATGTCTTAACTAATCCTTTTTAAAAGTGTAATTTCATGGACAATGAAAATCTCATTTGTCTGTTATCTTCAGAACACTGCTCATTTACAAGCCCCGTAGGAGCAATTTTTGAAGGCCTTGCGCAAATACTTAAGATCTTTGAGCAATCAGCTTCTTTGTTGAATTAAGGAGATGAAAATTGAACTCTAATAAAAAATTATGAGCTAACCTGGGAAAAATCATTTCAGGCATGTTTTTACAGCTCAAAACTTGAGAATTTTTGTGGGATTGTAAAAAAAATTTACTTATACAAGTGATTTTTTGAGAAAATTAAGGGGAGATTATTCAAACATTATAATCAACTTATATTAGTATATTTTTTATACTTTTTCAAGTAAATAAAGAGTACTTGTACAAGTAGTACCCCTGACTGACTGGAGTAGAATTAATAATAAAATTCTGGAACACATATGGAATAAAATTTGTATGATACACTGATTTATGATTTTGTTTCTTTTGATAGATCTTCGTATTTATCTGCATGACAACAACATGACTTGATTATGGGAAGTTCTTCTTCCAAGTTCCGTAAGCATCTGAGTAATGGGGACGAGTATGCTGCTCTCAATCAGTATAACAACAGTAGTGAGCTCCGTAAGGCTCTGGATCCTAACTCTTCCTACGGTGACTCACATAATCATGAGACACCACTACATTATGCCTCCAAATTTGCTATGAAAAGCTTGTTAAGGTGAGATTTGTCGTCTAATGAAAAAAGCCGTTTATTAATGTTCAAGGGGGTGATATGTTGGACTGTCATACAAGTGAGTGGTTAAATACCTATTAAACCAGGTTTAATCCAGCATTTTCTACATAAGAAAGCCTGTACCAAGTCAGGAATATGACAGTTGTTATCCATTCGTTTGATGTGTTTGAGCTTTTGATTTTGCCATTTGATTGGGGACTTTCCGTTTTCAATTTTCTTTGGAGTTCGGAAATTTTTGTAATTTTACTTTTTGGATTGAGTATTACACTAATTTATATGACTGTGTGACAGGCTACATGTAGGTAAAGTTTTCTTTTTAGAAAAAGGTCATACAAATAACAAAGGTTTGATTCTTATTTTGTGATGAGACTTTTGAAAGCTTCTTTGTATTTATTTGGGTGTATTCTGCTGTCCATGGCCAACTTTTCAAAATCTCCATGAGGGATTTTAAGCGCAAGAGGACCTAATGCTCCTTTTATGTTGTCATAAGTGTTTTTAATCAACTTCTATATTGTTTGGATGAGTATGTATGTGCTAAAATACCCTTTGAACTCATTTGAATGCCTGTTTTGAAGTGTTCAGTTTATATAATAAAGATTTTCAAAATTCAGGAAAACACCTCTCATGGGGGATATCCCCCATAAGTCGGGATAGTTGGCAGGTCTGATAGAATATAAGACATTAAATTACTAGTATAGTGCTTTATTATGTTCACCAAAAAAAAACTTTTCATCAACCAAAATTGTTTTTAATTACATATATAGGATTAATAATACCGTATATGGGTTTTTTTTCGTGTCAGCTTTTTTTCGCAATTTGATGATTAAATGGGCAGGTTAAAATTTTCACTGTGTATAATATTCGCTGAATGGGAAAATTCACGCGAAAAAATAACTGTATTGTATTGTTAAAAAACTTTATTAACTAACAGGTAATGGAGTACAAATAAATATGAGTATTACAAACGAAAATACACATAATTCAGAGAACTTTCAATGAACGTAAATTATGTACATAGGGCATGCTAAAAATTGAAGGTTTTGATCATTACAGATATACAAATATTCGTGTAATTGTAAATTGTTATTATTTTATTTTTACATTTTATGCAAAATTATTCAAGTTATGACACAAATCAATAGATAAATCTACGAATTTTCAGGGAAATTTACGCGGGGTCAAATTTTCGCGTTTCTTTAACTGCCGCGAACAAAGCAAAAATTAAACACAAGCGAAAAAAAAAACGATATACGGTAGCACTTGGAACGATAAGTTTTGGACTTTGTATGCACATGCAATTTTTAAAAATAAAATGATTGACAAGACTAGTATTAATATTGGGAACTTCAGGGCTGAGGTAAAAAAGATAACCCTTACAACAATGTACAACATACAAATTTAGACCTAATCTGCTAATGTAAGTAAAGTCAAAAGAAAAAAATGTACTCGATATTTATGTCTAAGCTCTGATTGATTGTTCAACAGACCACACCAATCGTCAACATTCAACTCCTATGACAAAATACTAACTGGTGGTTTTTAACGACCTTGACTGGCTGGTAAGCCCTCGCACACTAGTTATGAGAAAATCAAATAAAAAGCAAAGACAAAAAAAATGGAGAAACACTCGGTTCAGATGGCCTCACTTGGTACAGGCACACAATGCAATGAGGTAGAATAAGTTATATATGTGCACCAACCTACCGCCTTTGTGGATTTAACAGTATAATTTTATTATTTTCCTATTTCAAATTGTTGTAGACTCAAAAATATGTGTTTGGACTCGTATGATGAACAAGGAAGAAGCATTAAGAGGCCACATGTCATTGATGGTATATTTACAAAGATGTTTTGTATTGTATTTTTGTAAATTTCAGAATATTTTTGTCTGAACACAATGGAAATCCGAACAAAACAAATGGTATGAAACAGACCTGTCTTCACTGTGTGTGTATGGAGAAGGCAGAACACTCTCAGGTTTATCCTGTAATGAAGAGGAGAGCCGAATGTCTCGCCATGCTACTGAAATGGCGTGGAGCCAGACTGGAGGATAATGAAACAGAAAGAGTCAACTTGGGGGCTCAGGATGAGGTAAAATAAGATGCATTAATGTGTTCTTGTTCTTAGTTTTTGACAAAATTCCAGATATTGGTAGCAATTAAATTAAATAATGTACCTTTAGTGTATACAATATCAATTTGTAATACAGTGGAAAGAAGGGAGAGAATAGACTAAAACAGTCAAAACAAAAAAGAAAAAAAAAGCAAAACAAACCCATACTTAAAGAATATGAACCAGAAAAAAAAAGAAAAGTTAAAAGAAAAAAGAAAAACATCAGACAAAGTTAAAAGTAATACAGAAAAAAAGGATAGAAAACAAAGGAAACAAAAAGGAAAAAAAAACAGACATAACCATGACTTAACATGCACAAAGAAAACACAGAGAAAAACAATAGCTTAAAGAAAAAAAAAGGGAAAAACAATATCTAAAAAAATGTCAACAATAAATTATACTACACAGACAATTAATGATTTAGAAACATGAAACACATTAAAACTCAGTGTTAAACTTATTAGCTTATGAAAGATAAACAGTTCATTATCAATTAGTGTCCTAATTAATGTATTGTTCATATCAAGAGAAATTTTTGCACTAATTTTTGCTGATAAGAATTGAAATAATGTTTACATCTACTTTTAGAATCTGAACACAGTTTTGCATTGTAATATTTCTCTGTCTTTGTCTAGAGAATGAATAATTTTGATATCTGCTTTCAGGAACAGAACACAGCTTTACATTATGCTGCCCTGTCTGGACTTAAACAATGTGTAGAGGTTGGTTTAGTTAACTTATTTATGATACTATATATGTCCTTTTTCATGTGTATTTTTTTCTTATGAATGTCTTGGCAGGTATCTTTTCACAAAAATAAAAACAAGCGAATATAAATGCAGCTTACATGCATATAAAACCATCAAATAAAAAAAAAAAACCCAGAACATGCAATAAAATTCACCAAACGTTACATGCATGTATAACTCACATAACCTTAATTTAACTTTAAACAGTCAAAACAGTACATATAAGGGATAAAAGGACAAAAGGTAACAAATATGTCAGGTTTATTGGGTTTCTAACAACTTAATCTGATAATTACATTTCTCTAATTCCTAGCTGATTTATCTATTTCCTCACTGGTTGATTATTTTTATTTAATCAAAGTGTTGTTCGTTTGATCCCAGTTATTCATTGTTCAAAATTCAATTATGACGTCAAATATTAGTGTTTTTCTCTGAATTTCCTATTGTGACATCATGAAAAAAGCGACTATGCCTGATGACGTTACATAGTAAGAACGCATCTTTCTGCAGATCATTGAAAAAGAAGAATTTTACAAGTTTGCATATCGGCTTAAAATCATTAGAGAAACCGATTTTACCACCAAATCTCGAGCAATATGATATTTTTCCACTCGTGACAGTTAAATTTTAAATATATAAAACACTTGGCAAAGCCTTGCGTTTTAATTTTGAAAATTTGATTGTCTTGTCGGGAGAAATATTGTATCATACTCCATGCATTGGTAGAATCTATATTTATCAAATAGACAACTGTTTTGATGATTGATTTAATACGTAAAATAGTAATATTTTAAGTTTGTTATTTGGAAATACAGTTAAATAAAAGTTAAATACACAAGAATTCATTGGCAATACAAAAATTGTGAAAATAAGTACACGAAAAAAAAAGTACATATTCACTAGACATTTAAGAGAATATCCACCATCATGGCATTTTAATCAAATGTTGAAATTTCCTTAATTTTATATGTTGTTGCTCATATTATTCTTTGAACACATATAAGTCACCAATCTAATTTTTTTTTTTAGTAATTATGATTAATATAAAAAGAAGATATCTATACATGTGTTATCATTGTCAATAAAACAACTATACACCAGGTACCAAAGGACGTTGATGACAGCAACAATAAAGTCCTTTTGCAAAAAACTCAAAATTTACTGAAAATAAAAAAAATTGTTCAGAAAAAATTATGTTATCAAAATAAATCAAAGAGATATCGCATGTTAACAATGAATTAATTTTTGATTCATTGACTCGTTGCGGCTATGCTTCACTCATTGGCAAATATTATCTGTATTAAGGAATTAATCATGTGAACTGGTTTAAGTCAAAAGAAAGACCCTGTCTTGTTCTGAATCAACAAACTCTGTTGGATTTTGAACAAGGTTATCATAAAGTAACAGTTTGCAGAAAGTCACAATTATTATGAGTCATATATAAACCTAAACTACAGTATTATTTTTTCTATAGATGTTGGTTCAGCACGGAGCACCATTATTTCAGGAGAACTGTGACAATCAGACTCCATGTGACAGTGCAGAAAAAGGGGGACATGCTGATATTGCCTTGTACCTAGAATCCAAGATGGTCTTCTCTGTGAGTGACATTCATACACATTCACATGTACACACACATATACATGTACACACAAATATAAATAAATGGGGTTATGTTTATTAGCTAGAATCAAAATTATCACATACACATACTTAAGTATAAAAATAAGAAGATGTGGTATGATTGCCAATGAAACAACTCTCTACAAGAGACCAAATGACACAGAAATTAACAACTATAGGTCACTCTACGGCCTTCAACAATGAGCAAAGCCCATGCGGCATAGTTAGCTATACATCATTGTAAAAGGTCCCAAAATGACAAATATAAAACAATTGAAACGAGAAAACTAACGGCCTGATTTATGAACAAAATAATGAACGAAAAACAAATATGATATACAGCAACAAACAACAACCACTGAATTACAGACTCCTGACTTGGGACAGTATGTGTATACATTCACACACACACACACACATAGAGAAAAGGTGTATTGCTGACATTGTCATGTATTTTTATCTGAATTATTGTTATGTAAACATGTCAGTCTGACGGGGAGCTTGTACCATGCATGTAAAATGTATGTCATGATGTAGTTAATCTTTTTAATCTCTATTGGCCACTGGCAAGCCATTAATTTTAGTAACTTAGATCACTGAATGAATGACTGGTAATTGCTATATTCAATTATTATTAATTATTAGAAATGTAAGGGGGAAATGAGGTTGATTATCATTGTAGCAAATATGAATCAAAGCAGCATGTCAATATATTCCAAAAAAGACTTGTTGAAGATGACAATTACAACCAAGTGAATGTCCTTGTTTAGTTTTTGTTTTACTATAACTATTGATAATAAGTTATAGTTACAGAAGTCCCTAGACTCCTTATTTTTTCATGGGGCTCTTCCAAATATTTATGAGCTCACCATTTCAAAATAATCTTCTAAATACTCTAATGTTCTAAATAAGATTTTTGTTTTTTTTTAATACAGGCGGACGGACCAGAATTAGATGACGAGGACATGTATATAATGCCAGACTCTGAGGTATGATGTGTATGTTATAGCCTTATCGCTATTTTGGAATCTTTGACATTTGACCTGTCGATTTGCGACACTTGAATTATTGACGTCATACATCAATCTCTTTTCTTTTGTTGCGTCAGACATTTTCTGTTGACGTCAAATTTATATGGAATGTCTGTGAATTCCAGTCAAGGCAGACAAATAGCGATGAAGTGTATTGAGAAACTTGTTTCAAATATAGATTCGTTGGCATTGAATATAGTGTTCTATATTGAGGACTGGCAAGCTAGGTTCATCTGACCTTCTTATCATCTCCATGGATCATTTATAATGTTATGTTTATGTGATACTTTTAGGAATACTGTTACCCTAAAGAGTTTCAACTTTAAATTCAATCAGTATCAGTTTAACAGGCAAGACATATCAGCACATACATACTACTTATATGTTAAAAGACATTTGCCTAAGATGAAATTGTGTTTTAAGTTGAAAAAAAATATAGGTTCTATTGTTTATTTCTGAGTTTTCTTTTTATCCAGGAGTACAATGGATTGAGAGCCAAAATATACATGTCCTAATACCAAAGACCAGTTTTGTATAGAAACTTACTGTTCTATTGTTTACTCTTGAGTTCTCTTTTTATACAGGAGTACAATGGACTGAGAGCCCAAGATTTACAGGAGGCCAAGGACCAGCTGCTGGTAGAAACAGCAGACATGCTGAGTGTCCCGTTGTTTACAGCTGAGGCACTTCTCAGGAATCACGGTATATGTTTACAGTAAAACCAAGTTTAAATTACACAATGTCAGAATCATGGTTTAGCATAATGTTTACAGTAAAACCAAAACAATTAATGATTATAATAAAATACAAACTTTAGGTTACACATTGTAGGAAATGAATTTTAACTTTATGAAGAATTCGAAAATTAATTTTAGGTATCAAAATTTTCCCTATACATGTATTTCAACCATGCACTTATAAGGAATGCACCAATAATGTCTTTTCTTTTAATTTGAAAAAAATACCAATAAAAGGATCTGTGTAAGCAAGTCAGCATGGTCAGAACCTAAAGATCACAAAAAGTTGACCTCAAATAATGGACAAGCACAAACACAGCATGGCATTTTATTAAAATAAAACAACCAAATAGCTGACCGACCTCAATACCAAATACTGTGCATTTATTAATTTTTGTGGGTACTGATATTTATGGATTGCCCTCTTATGAATATTTATTTTGTAGTTTTGACAAATTCTCTATATAGATATAAATTAATAGGACATAAAGTATTTTATTAATGCTGAAATTTATTGGTCAGTTATATTCATGAAATTGAAAAAAAATTAGTTCTTGCTAAATATTAATGAATCCACTTGTATAGAAAAACAATAATAACAGGATACAAAACATCTACCAATCTGATTAAAATGTAGATCCTGTGTCAATGCTTTAATTTGCTCACAAGGATCTGACAACACCTTTGTTTTTCTTTCTGTTCTGGTAATTATTACATCAGCCAATGAAATTTCAGCCTTCAAATTTTTCAAGGTGTGTAATAATCTGAAAAAGCCAGAAGATCCCGAAAGTCCTTTAAAACAGAAAGTAGAAAAGAGCTTTTTCATATCCTTATAAGCAAAGCTTGGACAAAGGATCTGTATTTTAAAATGAACATCTACTGAAGAAGTTTCAATATTGTATCTTTTACAGAATGGTCCAGGGAGATATTATTAGAGGCATGGATGACAGATCCTAAAGCTTGCTGTGAGAAGTCGGGTGTTATACCCCCTCCTTCAGTGTTTTCTGAACAACCACATGTCCAGCATTCACTGTCATCCATAGAACCAACAATGACCAGTCAGCATGACGTTGAGGTAGGTATTTGTAATGTCATGCCCTTCAAGACTTGTAATGCAATAAATGCTGTGTGTACTGATGAATTTATTTGTGTTGTCTTAAGCATGATTTGAATGAAAATTTCTCAATATGTTTAAAGAATACAATAGTAGTAGGGGCATTATGTTTTCTGGTATGTGCGTCTTTTCGTTCGTATGCCGTCTGTCCGCCCGTCTGTCCCGCTTCAGGTTAACATATTTAGTCAAAGGTAGTTTTTGATGAAGTTGAAGTCCAATCAACTTGAAAATTAGTACACATGTTCCCTATGATATGATCTTTCTATTTTTAATGCCAAATTAGAGTTTTGACCCCAATTTCACGGTCCACTGAACATAGAAAATGATAGTGCGAGTGGGGCATCCATGTACTATGGACACATTCTTGTTAATGACCAATTTAAAATTGACTTATTTCTAATTTTTGATTTTTGAATTTTATGGTTTAAAACTCTGTTGAAAATTTCTATGTAAACTCTAGCTGCATTAATTTCAAGGTTATGCTTAAATTATACTAGATTTTAACAAATTAGTAGCAAAAACAAGAAATTGTGAAACTGCAAAATATGGTAAGATGTGGTTGTGTTGGTAAGTATATATCATGCTCTAAATGGCCCTAGTTTCAAAAATTATGAATACATTTATAAATTTTGTAAAAAGCATAATTTGATATTTTATTGTGCTTATTATTTGAATTGTTTTTTAGTGTGATATTTGTACCTCAAGTTTTATCACCAATGAGGATCCAGTACAAATGGCCTGTCTTCATCAGTTCTGTAAAGATTGCTGGCAAATGTATGTAAGATAATTTAATAATCATTAGATAAACATATTCTCACATAGTTACTTGCAGATTATCAGATTTATCCGATCTCAATAGTTGAATTATTGAATTTTAAAGTTCTCTCCTAGGCTCAGACTTTAAAATTCGATAATTTAACTATCGTGATTGGATAAATCTGATATTTCACCTGTGCCAATGTAAGAATCTATATATCTCTTATTAAACTGTTAGAATAGAATAGAGCATGTTAAAAAGCTTGTCCTTAATGTATAATTATATTACAGATATTTAGACCTGAAGATACAGGAAGGTGAGGCCCACAACATAACCTGTCCTGCTTATGACTGTATGAAACTGGTATCTGTAGAAGTTATAGAGAGTGTTGTGTCTAGAGCTATGGCCAGGAGATACCTACAGTTTGATATCAAGGTATTCAATCAATCATTTATTTAAGAGATAATTTTATTGTAGTTGAAGTTTGCCCTACCTCAAATAGGGGTTTTACTGCCTCAAATTGAGTTTACCTTAGCAACAAGTAGCGTAGCTGGTAAACAAATATTTGCAACAGTTAAACCAAGTTTTACGTAGGCCAAGTTTCATGTACTATACTGTTATCTGTATTCTAATGCAAAATAAACAAATCAGTCCATTTTAGTCATTAAATCAGTGTGAAATTTCTTAAAACAAAATCATCTTTGTCAACTAAACAAGGTGATGTCATATCTATGCTTCTGGCATCAACTGTAAACACTGAGCATATATAGACTTCTTGTACATCTCAGAATGTAATAAAATTAGATGAAAAAGATAGTTTTTAGGTTGAAAATTTGAGCTTTTTATTTATTAATGATGTGGATAGTCCATTCACACGCATCTAGGCCTTTTAACGAAAATGTTACTATTGATTTATAAATCGATAGGCCATTGTAGATAGTAATCCCAACATTAAAGGTTGCACTTCTGTAAATATATACAATGCAATTTCCCATAGGAACTCCCTTTACGGCTAAAACTCTGCCACTTTTATAATGAAGTTTGGTAAAAAATTATATCCTAAAATGGAAAGTTGATATGCACTACTATTTTGATCAAAGGTCAAAACATAGGGCTGTGCGACATATTTTCAACATCTATATGCCCCAAACTTCTAAGAGTTTAAACTTGTACTAAAATTCTGTACTAACCCTTCCTTCACTCTAGGTATTCCTCAGATTTCTATTTTGCAGCTATCCATGTGTATTTATACTGGTAACATTCATATCTGGGAATCAGTACGTAAACAAAACAAAATATGTATGAATATCATATATCTCCCCAAAAGAGGCGTGGTTTGTGAGACAGCTGTATTTACAAAGTGCAACCTAAATGGTGATTTTTCCCAGATTGTGGACAAGCTATTCACACAGTTGAGCAATAATTTTACTTTTGATTTATATTTTTACAGGCCTTTGTTGAGAGTAACCCTAACATTAAATGGTGTCCTTTCCCAGGATGTGGACAAGCTGTTAAGATGCCAGAGACTTGCATTAAGTTGCCAAGTGACACATCTAAAGCAGTGGATTGTGGGAAGGGTCATCTTTTCTGCTGGTAGGTATTATAAAACTTTGTACGAGGTAGGGACTTTTAGATTTGTCATATGTTTGTATACACAGACGTAAAAAAGATACTATTTAGAGTTACATTGATAGAAAGAAATTGTTTTTGACTTGTCTCACATCTTTGAGATGGCTTTATTGTCTGTCATCTATGATATACTGTAAATTCAGAAATGTTTGCACACATTTTTTGTCGCAATTGTTGAACAATGGACAAAAATGTGAACTTAATATTAAAAGAGAGGTGAAAGATACCGAAGGGACATTCAAACTAATAAGTCCAAAATAAACTGACAACGCCATGGCTAAAAAAGAAAAAGACCAACAGACAATCAATAGTACACAAAACATGACATAGAAAAATAAAGACTGAGCAACACAAACCCCACCAAAAACTGGGGGTGATCTCAGGTGCTCTGGAAAGGTAATTAGATCCTGCTCCAAACAATTTAGGGAAATGCTGCATACCAATAATGTTATCAAAATAAAGAACATATTAATTTTTGCTACACATGTCAAAACACACAAAAACTGAGTTTATATTATTGGAAACTCTCACCATGTCTCACATGTAAAGTTTAATAATCTCAAGTAAAGAAATGTTCCAAAAAATGCAGTAATAGAAAATATATATACTATTAAGATTTTCTTGTATACAAAGTTGTAATGGTAGAATCTATAGTTCTTAAAGACAGAAACTGGTTCTTTGGGCCACTATCACACTTCACTGGTTCAGTGATCCTAGACTCAGTAAACCGTTTCTTTCACAGTCAAAACTTGTGTACTAATGTCTGTGGTTTTGAACTGGTAATGCTTTTATTGTTTTAATATAATAACAGTTTTATTCAATGCATAGGGAGTGCCTGGGTGAAGCGCATGAACCAGCAAGTTGTGAAAACTGGAAGAAATGGTACAACAAGATATCAGAGATCAGACCTGAAGAATGTGAGTTATCTCCCCTGTAATAAATGTGGAACAAAATGTTGTAGTTATTAAAAATATATAACTTACCTGTATTAAATACAACCACAAATTATGTGCTAAACAAAAACAAAAATATGAATATAATTTTTTGGTTAACATACTTGATCAGTAATTTAAGTTTATTTACTATAAAGCACCAGCTGTTAATGATTACTGACTTGTTGTAATCATTTGTCCTACATCTTGACCTTTTATTTTTATAGTAAGAACTACAGAGGAAGAGACGGAGAATGCAGCTAATTGTCTTTGGCTGGTTACTAATTCCAAGTCTTGTCCTAACTGTAAATCTCCAATACAAAAGAATGAAGGTTGTAACCATATGAAATGTTGTAAGGTAAAGATTTATTGATTAGAAATACATGTTTTTGTAAATTCAGAAATTTTTTAGAAGTTTTTATTATTTCAAAATAATGATGGAATAGGCTTCGAAAAAAATAAACTAACATTTCGAATTTTTATAGTATTATTGGTGTACAGCATTTCCTGAAATAGTTGCACAATCACAATGGGGCTGCTTCATTTGTTCTCGTTCAGGCTATGCCCGGTAAGCCCTGTTACGTGACGGGGTTAAAAGAGGCTGAAAAGTAAAAGGAGTGGAACTGGCTGATTCAAATTTATAATTTTAGCTTTCTAGACAGGGAAATATGAAAAAAATGAAACTGTTAATAATAAATATAGTTTTTGTCTCGCCTTGACGGAGTCAAAAAGCGAGACATTGGTATGCTGTTTCCGGCGTCGGTGACGGCGGCAGCGTCAACAATGTATTAGTTTGTGATTAGGTCTAGTTCATGGTGAACCACTAGTGGTAGGTCTATGATATTTGGTATGCAGTTGTATTAGCATTGGCACATCTCATTACCATGGAGATTATTTGGCCCCACCCTCTCAGTCAAGGTCTATTGACTTTGAAACTTTGCTTAGTTTACATGTATTAGTTTGTAATTAGGTCAGTTTATGGGGAACCACTAGTGGTAGGTCAATGATATTTGGTATGCAGTTGTATAAGCATTGGCACATCTCATTACCATGGAGATTAGTTGGCCCCGCCCCCTCAGTCAAGGTCTATTGACTTTGAAACTTTGCTGCTTAGTTCACATGTACTAGTTTGTGATTAGGTCAGTTTATGGGGAACCACTAGTGGTAGGTCAATGATATTTGGTATACAGTTGTATAAGAATTGGCATATCTCATTTCCATGGAGAATATCTGGTCCTTACCCCTCAGTCATGGTCTATTGACTTTGAAACTTTTGCTTAGTTTACATGTATTAGTTTGTGATTACATGTAGGTCAGTTTAAGATGAACCACTAATGTTAAGTCAATGATATTCGGTATGCAAATGTATTGGCTTCTGCCAGTTTCATTTTTATGGAGATAATATAACCCCACCCCCTAATTATGGTTCATTGACTTTGAAACTTTTACATAGTTTACAAGTTAATGTTTGTGTTTAGGTTTGTTTAAAGGGAACGACTTATGAAAAGTCAATGGTATTTGGTTTGCAGTTGTATTAGCATTGGCACATCTCATTTCCAAGGAGATTGTTTAGCCCTGTACCTTCAGTCATGGTTCATTGACTTTGAATATTTGCATAACTTACATGTTAAAGTATTGCTATTTAAATTTCAACATTTGCATTATCAAAATAACAAATAGGCGAGACATATCTCTGTGTTAACATTTTATTTTTATATACAATCTTTTTTCTGAGGCCTTATTCATCATAAAAACATTTCTCCAAGATAATTTTATAAATTTAAAAATAAAATATGGCGTAGTAATTTATTATCGTCATAGTGGACCATTGCAGTATCACATTCGATATAGTCGAATTGAAAAATTTTACAATCTTCGTCTTTCAATTCAGACATTTTACCTTACATTGCGCTTTCCCCCCAATACTTTTTTGACTGGCTGATTGCCTGTAGGAGTGTTAAGACCGACAAGGGCGACATATATCTATATGCGCCCGCGGCTGATTTTTAAGCAAAGGAAACGACTGTGTCTATATCGGAAGCACCAACCGGGCTAACCCGGGTTAAACCGCTGTGACAAATGAAGTACTACCTTTATGTTGACAGATCAATGATATGTAATATATGGTTAGATTAAATCAATTGAACTATTTTTGTATTTTTATGCCCCCGCTGGAGGCAATTATTGCAATAAGTGTTACCCTTGTCAGTCCATCTTTCAGTCCATCCTTCTGTCTGTCCCATTTCATTTTAGCACTCTTACTTAAGTTTGTCTCATCCAAATTTTATGAAACTCATACACAATGCTAAGAACCACAACATGCAGAAAGAGTTTTCTGTTCTAGAGTTATGTTCCTTCTTAACTTGGAAAATTGCCAAGCTTGATATGTCTTCATACGCATTCTTGTTTTATTTATTGTCTCGCCTGCGACGAAAGTCACTGAAAGGGAGACATAGGGATTACTTTTCCGGCGACGGCACCGGCGTTAAAAATTGTTAAGTTTTCTGCTTAAGTCAGTTTGATAGGATCTCCTTGTGATAGATCAATGATATTTCGTATGAAGTTGCAGTACTATCAGTACATATCAGTTTGATGACTATTTTTAGGCCCTGCTCCCTTGGACATGGTTCAGCAGGGGTTAAAAAATTTTGTTACAGGTAACTAGCCCAGGACTTATTTGCAGCAGGATTTTACTAGCCCTGTTGGAAGAACTGCTAGCCCATGAAAACTGACCTGCTAGCCCGAGAATGCCTTACAAATCAGAGTTTGCTGCATAATTACAAAGTGGGTGTCCCTTGTTTTGAAGGCAGCATTATACACTGTTAATAATTTTTGTTAACCTGCTTTTTATTCTGTTGGTAAACAAACAGTGGTGCTTATCCTAACTTAGTTGTTCCCACATACAAAGCAGACTTTTTATTGGCGCGCTCGGGAAAATAACGGCAATATTCTCTGTTTTTTTCATCAGCAACACGGCCGACCTTGCACAGGGGAATCTTTCTTTTCGGGACACTATAAATTTTCCTTTCCGCTGTTCCCGGTCGTATTTGGCATTTTTGGGGGATGATTTGTCAGTCTCATTACCCCCTTCATCTACAGTTTTTCGTTTTAAAACTGACGAAGTTCCTGGGGTGCCCGTACTAAAATATTTAGAAATATTTGGTTGCATGGATTGGTTTCGTGCTCAACAGCTGTCCGACAAGACAGGTCAATACCGATCAATACATCATACCCCCAGTACCGTTAATTGAAAATCTCGGCATAGGAAATGTACAACCACCTCCCACCCCCGTACTGAGAAATCGATTTTTTAAAGTACGAGAATTATGATCAAAACATGATACCGGGCCACCCAGAGATATTTGTTCTATTTTTAAAATATGTACAACAGGACCTGTACAAACCAGTTCAAATTCTTGGAATTGCGGATGACGTAATTGAATCTGATTGGCTAAGATAGATTGATGAAGTGATGAAGGGATTTTTCACTTTCTATTTTGGAAACGCCAAGAATTTTTTGTTACTAGTCCGTCGGGCATATTGGGTTAAAAATTTTGATTGCCCGAGGCGTAAATGATCTAGTGCCGGGCGTCTGGCTAGTGGATTTTTTAACCCCTGTCCAGTGATTTTGAATTAATTAGCAATTTTCAATGTTAAGTTTTCTGCTTAAGTTAGTTTGATAGGAATCACTTGTGATAGATCAATGATATTTTGTATGAAGTCGCATTACTATCAGTTCATATCAGTTTGATGACTATTTTGAGGCCCTGCCCCCTAGGACATGGTCCAGTGACTTTGAATTAATTAGCAATTTTTAAAGGCAGTGCTTTAATGCCTTTCTAGTTGCTGTGTTAATATTTCTTTCCGCGATATCCAACTTATCTACGTGGGGGGGTCATTTAGCTCCAAGTAGATCTGGAAAATGTTGATTCTCTCCTCTTCTTATTCTGGTATAAAATGTTTTTTGTCTCATTTCATTTACATTGGGAAATAGAGAAACGATCATTGTGTTTTGTTAGTTTTAAAAACTTTTGATATATTTGTATTTTACATTATAAGCAGTCAACCGATTGACAATCTAGAATTATTTGAATTCTGTGTGGAAAGAAGTCGGGTTAATTTCGAGTGTTATCTGCAATCTAGATGTTTATAAATCATTTCAGTCGTTGATATAATAATTAAAGGTCGACTGAACATGAATTATATTATTCAATTTAAAGCGCATTTCTGTTTATGCGTTCGCAGTTATATAAAGTAACAAATTATCGTTCCTGAATAGGTGGCGCCGTGGTAGCCGATCCTGTACTTCAACTTCTGGTTTCTGCACTGTGCAACTATTACAGTTGCATTTTTAATTAACGATGCCAAGTACTTGTTGTTGTGTACCTGGATGTCATTTAAGAGGAGGACATGCATTTCCAAATGACTTAAAAAGAAGGAAAAGTTGGATCAACGCCATGGCCCATACGCAGATTGGACGAGAACACGATGAAATCGTGGAGTCCATCTCAATCAGCTGTTGTTTGCAAGGCACATTTTACTGAAAAAGACTACGTGCAGGAAACTATTCATGGTAAAACTCTATTTTCTTTTTAAAATATATAGTTATATATGTAATCGCCATGCGAATAAACCAAAGTCAGTTTACAACCGCAATTATCGTTTTAGAATAAAAGGGGGTGGTTAATTCAAGACGTCATAATTTTTTGGATTACGATTCAATGTGATCTGTTTGAGATTTTTTGGTGCTTGCTACAATTATAATGATTTCTTACAAGAGGTATATCATACTGAGAATTATTTTAGCAGTAATTATGCTTATGTAGTAATGACAGGAATGCATAAGCTTTGCCTCATAGACTTTCTTGAAAAATATCAATGACATTGTTAACAGGAACAAAACAATGACATGCTCTCATCTATATTATAGTTATTTAGGTACAAACAATGTATGTTTGTTGCATACGTCTCTCATTGTTTGTCCTTTGGATTTACATAACATACATTTTGATGTACATTGAATCAGGCTAACATAGTTTTATCCAGATTGTAATGAATAAATCTAGTTAATATTTTGCCAGGTTACGAATTCAAAGGAATTATAGTTATCTCGTACCATTGAAACTCGTACCAATGTCAACTCGTACCACTAAACAAAAACTCGTTCCAATGCAAACTCGTACCACTGCTAACTCGTACCACGGTAAATTCATACCATTGTAAACTCGTACCAACTTATTTAAATGCATTCAAATGGTGTTTAATGATGAATATATACTTTAATTTCACTCAATACCTCTTAAGTCTGTAAAATGTATATGATTTGAAATTACAATAACCAATTTGTAGCTAATTTTCCTTGTCTAATTGGATAGAGAAAACCGTGGCAGATTGGCTTTGTTGTCTCCCTTGAATAGACTCTTTTTTAAACTTTTACTGACAACTATTTGATTTAATTTTTAATCATTCCAAATCAGTAACATTGAATAGATTTGGGTATTTTTCTATTGTTTCTAAAAGGAATTTTATTTAATGAAAGAATTTATTGATTGTGTTTTAAAGGTTTAAAATTGTTTATGACCAACAGTTAGAAAGTATGAAATTTATTTTTAATACAATATTCAGCACATTTCAGCAGAATATGACCATGCTTATATGATTATACAAGTTGATTAGTTAAAGATAAAAAAAAAAACAAGTTGATTAGTTAATAATCAACCAATAATCACACAATCAAAGGAATTTAATATATTTATTAGCATGGTAATTAAGAAATTACATTTGTATTTTTGTCTAAGTTTTCATTAAAATCTGGTATAAATTTCAAAGATATTTTAATTTTTTGTATAAAGCTTAAAAAAAAAAAAAAAAATCATAAAACATTCGTATTTTTGTCTAAGTTTTCATTAAAATCTAGTATAAAATTCAAGTAATTCAACTTTTTTTATTTAGTTTACCAAAAAAAAAATCATAAAACTTTCGTATTTTTGAATATATTTTTAATGGTACGAGTTTGCAGTGGTACGAGTTCTGATTGGTACGACTTCCCAGTGGTACTAGTTTACGTTGGTACGAGTTTACGTGGTACGAGTTTACAATGGTACGAGTTAACTTGCTTCTGTACAAATTATGCATTGCTAATGGAAGTTCATTTAATTATCAAAAAACTAATGTTTTATAACCTTTTTCAGGGCACAAACCCACCATACAGAGACTTAAGTCTACTGCCAATCCCAGCCTATTTTCCTGGACCAAGCAAGAGACTGAATCGTCCGCAAAAAGAAAAATCAGGGCAGTTTCCTGTGAAAACAAAAGAACTAAACTTGATGAATATTGTAGTAGAAATCTAGAGGAAAGTTTTGATTGTAAAGTTGGTTTTCCTGAAGAAGTAATTCATACTGCAGACAGGATTTATGACTGTCCACCACCAACTGCCGAGCTAATGTTGAGCTTCACAGATGGAATTACGCAAACACCATCAATGCCTATATTTTCAGCAGAGAATTTTGAAATGAAGACACATGACACAGCCATGCATTTTTATACCGGTTTAGAGTTGTATACTAAATTTTTATTTGTTTTGACCACACTTGGTCCAACAGCACATTGTTTGAGATGCATATATTTTCAAATTGATAGGATGTCATTTGAAAATCAGTTTTTTTATGACTTTGATGAAATTGATGCATTATACAACCAACTTTGAACTGTCTAGATTCTAGATTGAAACTAGTGTTAAGAATATTGTGTAAACATGGATTGTTTTTATGTCTAAACAGTGGCGTGAGGCTAACACTTGGCCATTTAGTGGTTTAGTCAGGTATTTTTCGCCATCCAACTTAGAATTAAAGTTTCCTACAACTTGGATTATTATTGACAGCACAGAATATCCCGTGATAAAACCTAAAGCTCCTAGAGCTCAGGCAACCTTTTCATCATATAAAAACAGAAACACTGAAAATACTTGTATGTTCGACACCTGGTGGTTTAGTCAACTATGTCTCTAATGCATATGTTGGTTCTACCAGTGACTGTGAAATAGTTGAAAGGTGTAGAATAGTTCAATTATGTGATCCAGGTGACAGTGTGATGGCAGACAAAGGTTTAAATGTGCAAGATTTGTTTGCTCATTTTTTTCAAAAAAAGAAACAGAATTAGTTCCAAAACTCTTATACGGGATAGAAAAGTCTCCAATTAACACATGCACATAGAGCTAATTATTGGACTTGGCAAAACATACAAAATTCTAATAAATCCTATGAATGGAACTGAAACAAAACTTTCATCTGAAATAACATTTAGTTGTTTTATGTTGTGTAATTTTAGAACTTGTATTGTGCCAAAGGATGCATAAATAAAAGTGACGCAATGAAGTTTGTTCTGATATATATATATAAATATTAATTACAATTACATGCACATGTAAATTGTAATGCATATAAAAATAAGGAGATGTGGTATGATATTCAGTGAGTTTATCGAACCAAAGTGCATAAGAAATGGGTTAAGCAGTTACAGGTGTTACTGTCACTATACAATCTCCAACAATTAGAAAAACTTGTACCGTGTAAAAAATTTCAGAGATCTTACAACTAAGTTTTGTTGTCTCACCTTGATTTTGGTGAATTGTTTATATCTGTTGATGTAAATATAAAAAAGAAGATGTTGTATGATTGTCAATGAGACAACTCTCCACAAGAGACCAAATGACACAGAAATTAACAGCTATAGGTCACAGTACGGCCTTCAACAATGAGCAAAGCACATACCGCACAGTGAGCTATAAAAGGCCCCGAAATGACAATGTAAAACAATTCAAACAAGAAAACTAACGGCCTAATTTATGTATAAAAAATAAACGAATAACAAATATGCAACACATAAACAAACGACAACCACTGAATTACAGGCTCCTGACTTGGGACAGGCACATACATGTACATACAGAATGTGGCGGGGTTAAACATGTTCGGGGGATCCCAACCCACCCCCTAACCTGGGACAGTGGTGTAACAGTACAATATAAGAGCGAACTATAAAAATCAGTTGAAAGAGGCTTAACTCATCAGATGGATAAATACAAATACAAGTGGACGTGGCCGGGTAGTTGTACATCCAAACAAGAAAAAGACACTAAGTACAGATCTGAGAGTACTCGCATTTACTGACAGCTAGTTCAAAGCCACAAACAACTGATAAAAAAATCTTGCATCTAAGACTAAATTATCAATCCGTAAGCTCCCTTTAGAATTTTATAAATTTTAGATTTTACATTTCTGAGTTATGGGGTTTTATTCATTAAAAAGGGGGGGATTTTCAAGTTTTTGGACAACAACTCAAAAATGCTTTAAACAGTTCGCATGAAACTTTGGTGAATTATTTATAGCTATTGATGTAATCTCCCTATTGATTTTCATAAATTTCAAATATGACATTGAGAAGAAATTGAACTTTATTTGTTTATAGTCTGGCAACAGATTTAATAAGTATTGCGCAACAGCACAGTGTATTGCACAACAGCAAGAAATCTTTAATTGAATATAAATTCAATTCATATAACCGATTTCAAGTTCTTTGACTACATTTATTCAGAAACTATAATATGTCAAATATTTAATTACAATCCAAATTCAGACCTGTATCAAGCTTGAATATTGTGTCCATTTTTGCCCCAACTGTTCAGGGTTGGACCTCTGTGGGTGTATCCAGCTGCGCTCAGCGAATCAGTTTATTACTTAATTAAGAACTCCTTTTTGTCGAGCCAGCTCTGCGACTTTTGTCGCAGAAAGGTCGACATAGGGATAGTGATCCGGCGGCGGGGTTAGCTAACTTCTTAAAAGCTTTATATTTTAGAAGGTGGAAGGTCTGGATGCTTCATACTTTGTATATGGATGCCTCATGTTACGAAGTTTCCGTCAGTCACATGTCCAATGTCCTTGACCTCATTTTCATGGTTCAGTGACTACTTGAAAAAAAAGTTAAGATTTTTTGTAATGTTGAATTCTCTCTTATTATAAGTAATAGGATAACTATATTTGGTATACGCATACCTTGCAAGGTCCTCATGCCCGTCAGACAGTTTTCACTTGACCTCGACCTCATTTCATGGATCAGTGAACAAGGTTAAGTTTTGGTGGTCAAGTCCATATCTCAGATACTATAAGCAATAGGTCTAGTATATTCGGTGTATGGAAGGACTGTAAGGTGTACATGTCCAACTGGCAGGTGTCATCTGATCTTGACCTCATTTTCATGGTTCAGTGGTTATAGTTAAGTTTTTGTGTTTTGGTCTGTTTTTCTTATACTGTATGCAATAGGTCTACTTTATTTGGTGTATGGAATGATTGTAAGGTGTACATGTCTAGCTGGCAGGTGTCATCTGACCTTGACCTCATTTTCACGGTTCAGTGGTCAAAGTTAAGTTTTTGAGTTTTGTCTTTTTTTCTAATACTATATGCAATAGTAAAGAAGGCGAGACATTTCAGCGTGTGCACTCTTGTTTCATTCATAAATTACTTTATACTTGGAAATATAATTTTGCTTGGAGTTATAATTTCTAAAAAAAGTATTGTCATTGAAAGAGTTGACATGTTGCAATGTACATTTATTCTACATAGTTCTATGGTACCAAATCAAAAGTTTATATTAAAGAAAGAAGTCAAAGGTTTCCCATCATAGTTTAGTTACATACATTTTTTTTGTACCTGAGGTCGTTGAATATAGATCATTATATAAATAAGGAGATGTGTTATGATTGCCAATGAAACAACTATCATCCATACATTGTACTTACCAGTAACAAACCACATTTGCAAAGTTGAATAAAATACAGTTGATAACATTTACTTATTACTTAAAAGAAAATGCCAAACTATTTTAAACAGTATTTGACTATAAACATAGATAAAAAAGGTACAAACTGGACATAATGCACTAGTTCATAAACAAGTGAGAACAATCGCCTTCATATAGTGCTCAGAATATGACATTCATAAAACTTGTTCAATATCATTAGAGAACTCTAAATCTTAAATACTGAAAGCCACCTCTGATAAGTACAATGTACTATGCAAGATAATGATATAACTGGACTAAAAATACACACAACCTGTAATTAACTGCCTTTACAGCGCTTTCACGCTTTGATTAATATTAAGTAATTATGCTTAAGTAATATTGATAGGAACTACTTACAATAAACAACTATATTTTCTTTAAAGTTACATAACTGTCTGTTCATCTCAGTTTGTCAACCATTTTCAGACCCCGCCCACTTAATCATGGTCCAATGACTGAATTAATAAGCACTGTTGCTGTCCATCGGATTGTCTTTTTTTGAATTTTGTGCCAATAGGTGAGACATATCTCTGAGTCAACAGTTTATGACTAGTAAAATACCTTGATTGTTTTTTTGTCCGTTTTCTGAACTCAATCTTAAAGACTTAATCCATTTTTCATTAATATACAATATTATGCCGCCTGAAATTTTTGTCTGCCCACTTCGATCATCATTCATATGACAAAAGAACGCAGAATGTTTGTTTATAAATGCCAAACTTAAGGTATATCCTTACATATTTGCTTTTTTCAATATGCATACTGTAAATTCAGAAATTATTGCGATGTTTTTATTATTGCAAAAAATGCGACAGGGTTATAATCGCAATAATTTAAACTCGCATTTTGAAATTTTTTATATGCATTAAACAGGATTTTTCTCAATATTGTAAAAAATAAAATCGCATTTTAGTCTAAATTCACAAAATCGTAATAATAAATGCATGCAATAATTTCTGAATTTACAGTATAAAAAGACAGGTTGCGTAAATGTCAATTGGAAAGCAACTCACCCACACGAAAGCAAAGCCAAAAGATTAAAGATAAAAGCTGAGTATATACGACCTGATAGATGTGTGTTTCAAGTTTATTCTCCTGAAGTTACAATTTTAACATTTTAACATTTTATATTTAACAGTGTAAATATGACTTCTGTTGGGTGTGCCTTGACCCCTGGAAGAGACATAATTCCAGTACTGGTGGATATTTTAAATGTAACAGATATGAAGCAGTCAAAGTCGTCAATGAAAAAGTCAATAAAGCACAAACTGAGGTAGGGACATGTTTGAATGACATAATCACAGTATTATTTAAAGACATGATCGATGATACTGTAAAGTGGTAAAGTAAGTAAAAGGTTTATTTTCTTCAATTTTGCAATAAAGATGAAAATGGTAAAATTTCTCTTCTTGAAAAAGAATAAGTATATCAAAATACCAAACTCCAAGGCAAATTCAAAAAGGGGAAGTCCATAAAAACTTGTGTGAGTTAAGAACTTAAAAAATCAGTTCTAACCATATGCTGTATGATCTGTAATTAAAAAAATTTCTCATCTGTTGATATACTTTATGACCCCATTGAAAAATATAGATTTCCTCAGTTTGGGAGCTTTTCATGAATACATTTATGAACAAAAGGTCCATTTAAGTTGTTATCAGAGAAGAAAAAGACCTACAAAAAAATTTCCATTGCTTAAGTTTTCCCGAAATGATTACTTTTTTTTTGTAATACAAGTGTAAATTATTTTTATTTTGTAACTTCAAGACTTTCTTAAACACATATATATGAAAACGTTATATAACATGGCATTAGACACAGAGAATGTACTCATTAGATTTAATATGGTGTTCTGTACAACTAGAGCAAGGTACATGTACACTGATTGTAATTCTGTTTTATTTTTACAGGCTGAAGACCACAATACAAGCATGCAGGAATTAAATAAATTTGTACATTACTACACTCGGTTTAAAAATCATGAGAATAGTTATAAGGTTAGTTACAAAAACACAAGAAAATTGCAAGACTACATAAACCTTGTGAATAGGGATAGACATGACACAAATTCAAAAACATACTGCAAGAAATCAAAAGACTTATTTACACTTTTGGGTATTTGGCTAAACTTTATCTCCAAATGACATAAGATCTGTCTCAGATTATTTTGCAGGAACTTGTGTGATTTTTAGAAATGGCTGACAAATTGGCATACAAGTGTAAATATGTCAATTACTAAGCTTAAAAGGATAGTGTTACTTTTAATATTGATTTATGAACACACACTTTCATTCCTAACCATGATTTAAGAAGAATTGCAAAAAGATAAAAGATAAATGAAATAACAAACATGCATAAATATCTTAATACATCTAAAAAGGTACTTGTATAAAACACCATGCAAAAAAACCCACAAGATATTGTAATTTCCAACACTTGGTTTAAGAAAATCCGACAAATAGTTCATATAGTTCAAATTAAAAATATATTTCTATGTCTTACACATCACTGCTGGTTGAAAACCTCCATGTAAACAAATAACACAACATACTGTATAAGTAGGTAAATGGTAAGGGTTGAGATCTCACAAAACATGTTTAACCCCTGCCTTATTTTTGCGCCTGTCCCGAGTCAGGAGCCTCTGGCCTTTGTTAGTGTTGTATGTTTTTTTTTAAATTTTGGTTCATTTATATGTTTCGGAATTAAGTGTGATGTCCATTTTCGCTGGACTAGTACACATTTTTGTTAAGCGGCCAGCTGAAGCCCGCCTACGGGTGCGGGATTTTCTTGTTGTGTTAAAGACCCATTGGTGGCCTTGGGCTTTTTTCTGCTCTTTGGTCGGGTTGTTGTCTCTTTCCCTGTTTCCATTCTCAATTTTATTAAATGTATTGTATTGTATTGTCTAATCTTTTAAAAGCTGACAGTAACATCTCACCTGTCTGAATTCAGAAAAATAAACATATACTTTTATTTATTGTTTAAAACACGTTAGTACAAAATTTCAGACAGCTCACATCAAGATTATTGATAACAAGAGATCTAGATTATATGAGATGTTTGAAATACCGTAAACCAACTTATATTTGCAGATACTTTATTTCCTGTTTAGCCCTTTCAAGCTCACTTCGCAGCGATTTCATTCTCGATTTTAAAAGTTGATTGATGTAGTTTATTAAAGAAAGATCCAAGTTTTACATATTCACGTTACTTTTCTACTCCCAAAAGTTGTTAAAATAATCTGCTTGCAAAAATTAATTGGTTTACCTTCAAAATTAATATATTAATCAAGGTCAGAATCATCTTACCAAATTTTAAAATCTTTTTTAAATACTGCATAAATAACAATTACCCTCTGTTTATTCAAATGATTCATTTTCAATCTTTTGTCTCATATAACATGTTCTAACTGCAGATAACACATAACTGGTATTTGTTTTTCTACTTCAGTTAGAAGAGCCATTACTTAGTACAACTAAGAATAAGATGATGAAGTTGGCTGAGGCTGTGACAGACATTGCAACAGCTAATGCAGAGACCAAGTTTGTAGAGGATGCTGTACATCAACTGTTAAAGGCTAGACGTGTACTCAAATGTTCTTATGTGTATGGATATTATCTGGATGGACCAGGGTACAAGAAAATTGTTTTTGAATTCATGCAGGTAAGTGTACAATTACTAACTGTACAGACCAGGGCACAACAAAATATCATCAATATCATGAAAAAAAGAAACAAAAAGTTGTGAGATACAATAATTTGAGGATTGTCTCCCTTTGCCCAATAGGAAAATTTTCAGTTGCATTGTATTTTGAAAATACAAGTAATTAGCTTATTTTCTTAATGGATGTGTTCGCTTATATTAATACTGTAGTAATTCAGATGAATATATCTATATTCTCTCTAATTTTTGTTCATTTTTTTTTTTAATCTTCAATGATTGCTTATGGTTGCTTTACATGTACGTCAATTGGCAAATATTTCATGCATGTTCAGAACTATACTATTAAAGGCCTATCTTGATTTGCTGAAATGTGTTAGCTCTTTCTTTGAAGTCCTCACAGCAAGATGATGCTGCAATAACTATTATATGTCTTATTTCCTGGTTTGTTAAGTTAAATATATTGAACAGAAACTCTTTAAGTTTCTAATTAAGTAGCAAATATGGACCAATTTTTATGAGCTTTTTAATTTTGAATTCCTACCTCTTTCCCATTTCATTAGAAATTTTCATCACAGGATATTTTGAAGAAAAGCAATATTTAAAAAAGGAACTGTGTTTAGACTTTCAAAGTTATCAGAAAAAATGATTTGAAAAATCAATGATTTATTTTTGGCCGTCATAGTCAGATAAATACTGGGAGTATATTCCCCTTTTAAATTTATGTTTTCATAGCACAGATTTAAATCTGTTGTAAGAAAAATAAACAAAAGCAGATATCACTCAAAATACAGTATGAAGTCAGAACATTGTACTGTTTATTTTTTTTTGTAAATATATTTGTTACTTGACTTTATTGCCTATTTTTAAAAATATATTCTGGTATAAATATGTGACCAGTCACGAAATTTCAGGCTAAGGAGGTATCAGGGTCAACATGAGTTTTTCGCATATTTATGAAGTTTACATAGCTTAAAAACACCCTGACAAGTTATTTTGCTGGATTCTTCATTAGAACAGAATTATGGTCATATTTGTTACTTTCGATTATATTAAAGATTTAATAATTTTTTTAAACGCCCGTTTACGGGACGTATTATGGTATACTGTTGTCCATCCGTCCGTCTGTCCGTCCCTCGTCAACATGTCGGACATTAACTCAAAAACGCTTTTACCAATTTGCATAAAACTTTGGTGAATTGTTTATATCTATTGACGTGAGCTCCCTTTTGTTTTTTTATAAATTTTAGATTTTACGTTTCCGAGTTATGGGGTTTTATTCATTAAAAAAAGGGGGATTTTCCAGTTTTCCGACAATAACTCAAGAATGCTTTCACCAACTTGCAAGAAATTGTGGTGAATTGTTTATATCTATTGACATGAGCTCCCTTTCGATTTTTATAAATTTTAGATTTTATGTTTCCGAGTAACAGGGTTTTATTATAAAAAAATTTTTTTTTGGTGGGGGGAAGGGGGGTGGGTTCAGGTAGTTTTTATTTAATCAAGATGTAATACATGTAGTATGTTTAATAACTAAATAACTGAAGAATTTTAATTCGGTTGCCATAGAAATTATGTGCCAGAATCTGCAATCCAAATGACTTAAACGTTTTTCTTTCTTACGTAAGGAAAACTACATCAATGCTAAGAAAGTGAATAACACAATATATGATAAACCATCAAGGAGCTGTGTATTATTTAGTATGCTTTCTTATGTTCATCTATTATCTTATTGGTAAATACATTTTGTGAATGTATCCTGACAACATGATTAAATCAAAGATTTGTTAATGCAGAGTAAGATGAAAAATCAAAAATGATCAATAATATTAGGGTATGTCGGTGAAAGGGATGTAAGAAAACTTTAAACAACACACATCTTGTTTGTGTAGTTCTAAGACAGTCATAGGTAAAAAACAAAACAAACAAAAACTAGGAATAAACATGAGATGAGACATTATTGGGGTCCTAATTGGCAGGTATATCTTGTTTGATTAACATTTTCCCTTGCAATGTGAAACAATGAGATTTACTCCAAAAACTTGGTTTCATTCTGCAATCTATTTCGGGAAAGTTATAATTTTCGGTACTTTATTTTTTTAAATAATATGTAGGAATGGTGATATAATTTAAACCATTTTGTATAATTGAAAACATATGAATGATTCAGGAGAAAATAATTTAAGCAATGAAAAAGATAAATTGTGTGAATTATGAACGCGATTCTAAATGGGATTTTAACCCTATTTATTAATTTTACGTAAAATATGTAATAGTTTTGAATATCTTATTATGAATTCAAATGTCCTCAAGTCATGAAGAAATTGAACTTTACCGCATGATATACATGAACATTCAATAACAGGTGCCCCGATTATGTTACGTGACTTTACATAGACGTTTTCTCACTAAGACGTTTAAAGCCATAAGCCTGGAAATGTCATGGCGGGTCACATATATGGTAAAAAAATGATAATTAGCAATAAAATTTATAATAAAAAACATGAGTGGTGAATAATTAATAATTAATAATTTCTGTCTGCAAATGAAAAGGTTTGTCTTGTTGTTTTTTGCATAAAAGATGAAAAAAATATACAGAAATTTAATCATATATTGTAAACATACATCATGTGTTGTCAGTTATTACTTAATTGATGTATACCCTGGATCTCGTGGTAAACTAATTATCACCTTATAATGTCCATGATTTATGTCACTTTCAGACAGAGTTAGAAGAATGTACAGAGATATTGTCACAGATGGTCAACCGACTTTATTTACGTACTCCACGTAAACGAATTATAGAGCAGGCACAGATTGTCCAACGTAAACGTCAGGAGTTCCTGTCGGCTATTATGAAGGGACTGGTTCCCCCTGAAACACCACCAGGGCTGAGAAAACAGAGGAGAAGGAAATACAGCATGGATTTTGAAGATGTAATTTTGATAGAAAACAATGACAAAAAATAATTTGCTAATTTCAGTTTATTATTGATATTGGAAAAATTATAGGTTGTAAAGTTCATATGATGTAATGAAATATACATTTGAAAACAAAATATCAAAAGTTGATTATTGTAGCAAAAATCTTACATGTATTTTCGTATGGTTCTTTTTTATTTGCATGCTTTATTTTTTTATTTTCATCAATGGTGCAACAACAATTGAAAATATGGCTGTGGTCAAATTTCAGAATTTTGAGTGCATTAAGATGAAAGGATTAATTTTACATAATCATGATACCATTTAAAGAACAGGTTGACAAAATAATAATGTAAATGATGAAAACATTTAATTTATCTTTTTAACAACTAGGATGAACTCCGATCAGCTGTTCTAGCCTCCATACAAGACGTAGACCCAGCTAATCCATGGATAAAAGATGCCTCAGGACGTCACACCAACGTTACAGCCATGTTGGATTGGCCTGACAGTGATGACAGTGACACTGATGTAACTACTATCAAAAAACTTCATGGTATGAATTTTGATAGATTTAAAAAGGAGGGATATTAGGTTATGCAGTGAAACAGGTCCAAATCATTCACTTTTGTAATTTGTTAATATCATACAGTTATACAATTGAACAGGTTGTTACTGCAGTGTATTCAATGTTTGTAATAATAGATGTGTTTGTTTTCAGCTTTATTCGAAACAGTTGCTGTTAAATACCTTTATTTTAGGTAGATTAACTGTATGCTGCCAGTTTGAATTCTAAACAAGCAGAACACAGTCGGTCTAATTCTTTGCCTAAATTTGAAAATTTTGAGACAGAATGGCAGTTTATATGTAAGATTGTTTATTTAAATAAAGAAACATTAGTTATTGATTGACTGTTTTTACAAATACCAAATAATTTTTTTTTTATTATTCAATTTTTCAACTCAGCTATGCAAGGGGAGATAACGCTATAGTTAAAATTTATAAAGGAATGTTAATGAATTTTTGTTTTTTATTTGTAGCAAGATAATAAGTTCTGTGACACCATTTTTTCTTTTTATTATCTAAAAGCATATTATATAACATTTTCTCTTATTTTATTTTTAAAATCTAACTGATAAATGCGCAATTTGAAACTTGAAAAATAGCACGTTGACCCATACATTTTATTTTATTTTTGAAAAAAGCATGGTAATACCTACATTTTGGCAAAGTATAAGAAAATACTATTTGAGGAAATATATAGTGAGGATCCACCTTAAATCACAAACATTGTCAAAAAGAAATGTCTGTTATAAATTTGAACTTATTCAGGATATACGATATTAGTTTTTACATCATAGATGTCAACAGACCCGTATTCTGTGGGTTACACCTGCAAATTTCCCCTTTCACATGGGATTTTTTAAATACCCACTGGGTATTCAAAAACCCGGGATTTCAGAAAATGACCTGTTTTCACCCGTATTTCTGACCAGTATTGTTTCCGGTATTTAGAAGTCAAATATACTTTCGGTTTTCTCAGCGTTTTTCCTTTGAAAAGGTAAACAATTGACAAGTCAAAAGTTAGAATTTGCTTATTCACCGTGCCAATCAGCTATCAAAACATTACATTTGATTGAAAAGTAACAATTCGAGGATTGTTTGTTAATTGTACCCCAGAAACTCTATGTCCTGATTAAAAGATTTGCCGTTTGCAAATATCAAATATCCTGTAAAAATCATTTTAAAACAATTTGAACCTTTTAATACATTTCTGTTGGAGAGAATAATTTTGTTATCACTTAAATGTAAAAGCTTTAAATCAAATCCATATGCTCTAGATATTACACTGAAAGGAAACACACTCACTTCTTTCTATTTATCTTCCTCCTGTGTATAGGAGCACATTAGCTATAATTGATTTCTAATTACATTTATAGCTGGGGTTTATGACATTCATTAATAAAAAGAAGTAAACTAGTGTGAATAAAACAATAAGAGGGCATTGCTTTAGAAAGGTATTTAATTAATGATAAATATTTATATACTTAACAAATACAAAAGTGATTATTTTTAGGAAACTCAGTGGTACATGTATATGTTATAGTATATAAAAAAAAAACTCTCAATACTAAACTTGGACCGAAAAAGTTTGTACGCGTTATGACCTGACATTTTTTTCTTCAATGCAGGTTATGACCTGCATTTTCAGTTTCAGAGGTTAACAGGTATGTTTTAAATTGACATTTTCTCTAGTACTGCACCTTATTCCTTGATTTCGTGGGAATAGGTATACCAAAACATATTAATGTTCAACAAAGTATGATTTTTCTAAAGGCCTGTAAGCAAACTTTTATAAAACCACGAAATCTACAAAAATACAATTTTTCCTCAATCCATGAAAATTGGTATCCACACTACCTGTCTGACATATTGGCTAGTTTTGTGAAAATCTCATCAAAAAATCCAATGGGGAACTAAAATGAAAAATTGTGATCAACATGAAAACTTCCTAGGGGTCTCATTTAATTTATTGACTACTAATCTTGCACTAAATTCATTATATTAGTTAACAAGAAAAATTGTAATACATATGTATATTTCAGGTACATGTTCAAGGAAGGGTTGCAGCAGAACTCGTGTGAAAAACCCAAGGACAGGCGATTGGCATGCGTACTGTAGCAGGGCATGTATGCAAGCAGACCAGATACAGGCCTCTCAGGAACAGGGTAAGATCAGAAACAGGTTTCTCATGAATGTGGTAGTCAAGCACAGGCCTCTCAGGAACTAGATAAGATCATAAACAGGTCACTCATGAACAGGGTAGTCAGATATAGGTCTTGCAGAAACACAGTAAGTTCAGAACAAGACTTTTAAGAAACAAGAAGTTGAGAATAGATACATACCTCTGACAAAACATTATAGTAAGAACAAATACAGACATGTTTGGGATATACTAGATACAGTTCAGGCCTTTTAGGAATACGGTTAAATCATGGGCAGGCCATATAGAAAAAGAGTTTAAATCCTATTCACAATGCATTTGATATTTGATTTAAAGAATTGTTCAGGTAAAATAAAAATGCATACCAATATTTTTTCTCCAAAAAGAAGTAATTTTGCAAAAAGTTTGTTTTCAATTCTTTTTTTCTACTCTAAAAAAATAAATATGTGTATTTTTTTTGGGGGCCTGGATTTCCATTGTTACAGTTCTATTACGTCACATTAGTTATGTTTAAAGACCATATGGACCAAACTTTATTGCTGTTTTGTGTTGATGAGAATCATGTGGAAAAAGATCTAGAGGAAATTACTTTTTTAGGGTTGAAGGCAATTTAGCACTTTAAAGTTGAATTCGTTTTCATCATTTAATCATAAACATTTTTGTTTAGGGGCCATCTGAAGCCAGCCTCCGGGTGCTGGATTTTCTCCCTGTGTTGAAGACCCTTTGGTGGCCTTCGGCTGTTTTCTGCCCTTTGGTCGGGTTGTTGTCTCTTTGACACATTCCCCATTTCCATTCTCAATTTTTATTGAAACACACAATTTGTAATGCACATTAATAAATTCAATGTTTAGTGATATGTGACTTTTTCAAAGTAAGTGATTGGAAATTTAGGTTATGGACATCTACTTAAAACCTATTACCTTCTTGAATGACAACACCAGTTTTTAAAGAATCAAATTTATAATCTTCAAATACTAAGCAATCATAAATCACACCTGTCATGAGATTATTGACATTATACATGTATAACCAAGGAAACAAAAATCTGTCCAATCTTTTATGCTGCAGCTAATACTTTCTTGATATTCAGATCAATATAGGCCTTTGAGGGAATGTCTACAACATCAAGTATAACATTTGTATTTTCTTTACAGAGGAATCACAAACACAAGAAGTAGTAGATGAATTTTCAATGGCTTATATCAGAAAAACAATGACATGGACCTTTTATTTTATTCTGCTATTTTAGTTTTGTTATTTATACACATCAATTCATGACAGACTTTTAAAAAGCTTGTTATTTGAAACAGTAGTGAACATCCTTAAGATCAATGTAATTAAAGCAAATAGCACTCCTGAGTATAATATTTGTATCTTTTTACAGAAGAGTCACAAGCAGAAGTAGTAGTAGATGAACAGATGGATTTATTAAGAGCTTTAGAGATGTCCAGATTATTGTATCTACAGGAACAAGGAATTCTGTTTGATCAACAAAGGTATACTAGATAGCTGACTATGCAATATGGGCTTTGCTCATTGTTGAAGGCTGTACAGGGACCTATAGTTGCTAATTTCTGTGTCATTTGGTCTCTTGTGGAGAGTTGTCTCATTGACATTCATACCATATCTTCTTATTTTTATAGATATCTATTATTACATGTATATGTAAAAGGAAATGTGGGGCATATATCAATGTGACAGCAACCCATCAATCCAAACAATCAAAGGTCATCTACAGTTTCAAGACATGGGTTTATTAATATACTGGTTTCTAGACTAAATGCTAAGCTCTAAAGAACTCATCTGAGATTCCAGGCTTTTAGTTTGTTACCCCAGAAGCACTTTAGGTCAAAGGTAGATAAGTAGAGCATTGCAACCCAAAAATTCCCAAAAGTTAAGGGTAATGCTATCAATGCCTCATGGTATAATAATCTTATTGTTTCAAGCTGTGAATAAAATTTAATTTGCCTATCAAAGATCTCACGTTAAGGTGGTACATAACACTACAGGGAGATAACTCTGTAAAAATCAGCTGAACTTTTAAATCACACTCTTTTGTTAAGTAAATATTAAGCTTCTGAATGATCAAAATTAGTGTTTGATAAACTGCTATATATCCAATGAAATTTTTCTGATAAAGTGTGTGGTTCAAGTTTTTAGAATTTTTTTTATTTTCATCGAAGGGTCAAAGGAAATATTTTGTCAAAATTTTATGAAAATCAAACAAGTCAAATTAATTTTAGTCAAGGTGTTTGGTACCACCTTAAATTCCCCAAACAACAAAATGATATTATTCAGGTATGAAACACCACAACTATTGACAAAGTTCTTAGCACTCACACCAGTTACATCAAAGTTTTAATTGGTCTCCATAGTAATATTAAAGAGAGGGGAAAGATACCAAAGGGATATTCAAACTCATAAGTCGAAAACAAAAAATAAAAAAAATAATCAAAAGACATTTATTCATTACATAACATGGAAATTAAAATGTGGATAGGAGATTCTCATATAAAGCTCAAGAGAAGAGCAAAATGTCATTAGATGAGCCAAGGACTGATACAAGGAGTGAAATGAAAAATAACATTTTGTGATCTTTCCATTAAATACTTTTTACGCTATTTAAACCTTCTTTCTTAACTTTTAAAAATTTTCTAAATTTATGTCTTTTGTACACTTCAGTTTTGGTGGATTTTCCTAGATGTATAATGTGGGCAGCCCGTGAGGTCTAACTTTAGATTTTATAAAAATATTGCATACAAAAGATTAATCTCTTTTGTCCTTGGTATAGTGAAGGAAAGTGTCATAAAAAATTGAAAATAATAAACTGATGTTTTACAATTTGACATCAAGTTAAAAATGGCAGTTATAGAAAATTATGTTTTAATCATGTATATTTCAGCAGAGACAGTGTTTTGATTGGAGCACAGACCCCTGAGGAATCAGAAGGTTTGTAAATAGCTACATATAGCTTTAGACAAGGAGATGGGGTAATTCTATTCAAAACTAATTTCTAACCTTAACTCAAGTATGATAACAGTAAGTCAGATTGTGGAATGTAGATGAAAAAAGTGGAATATATTTAGTGTAGAAGATCTAGAGGGCTGCAGATGTTTTTTTTTATCCCCCGCCGTAGCAGAGGGGGCATTTAGTTTTACCCTGTCTTGTCTGTCTGTATGTCCGTCCGTCCCTACTTACGTACGTCTGTACGTCAGTCCGTTCCTACGTACGTACGTCTGTACGTCCAAAAATTGGTATCCGTTCTCTAACTTTAGTTTGCCTCAAACAAATGATATGAGACAAATGATATGAGACTTATACACAATGCTTATTACCACAAAACACAGGTCAAGTTTGAATTTTTGTGGCGTCACTTTTACTTTTCTAAAGTTATGCCCCTTTACAAGTGGAAAAATTGCTGAATTTTTGTTTCAGTTCTCTTACTTTAGTTTGCCTTAACCAAATGATGTGAAACTTATACACAATGCTTATTATCACATAACACAGATCAAGTTTTAATTTTGGTGACGTCACTTTTACTGTTCTTAAGTTATGCCCCTTTACAAGTGGAAAAAATGCTGAATTTTTCATTCCCTTCTCTAACTTTAGTTTGCCTTAACCAAATGTTATGAAACTTATACACAATGCTTATTATCACATAACACAGATCAAGTTTTAATTTTGGTGACGTCACTTTTACTGTTCTTAAGTTATGCCCCTTTACAAGTGGAAAAAATGCTGAATTTTTCATTCCCTTCTCTAACTTTAGTTTGCCTTAACCAAATGTTATGAAACTTATACACAATGCTTATTATCACATAACACAGATCAAGTTTTAATTTTGGTGACGTCACTTTTACTGTTCTTAAGTTATGCCCCTTTACAAGTGGAAAAAATGCTGAATTTTTCATTTCCTTCTCTAACTTTAGTTTGCCTTAACCAAATGTTATGAAACTTATACACAATGCTTATTATCACATAACACAGATCAAGTTTTAATTTTGGTGACGTCACTTTTACTGTTCTTAAGTTATGCCCCTTTACAAGTGGAAAAAATGCTGAATTTTTCATTCCCTTCTCTAACTTTAGTTTGCCTTAACCAAATGTTATGAAACTTATACACAATGCTTATTATCACATAACACAGATCAAGTTTTAATTTTGGTGACGTCACTTTTACTGTTCTTAAGTTATGCCCCTTTACAAGTGGAAAAAATGCTGAATTTTTCATTCCCTTCTCTAACTTTAGTTTGCCTTAACCAAATGTTATGAAACTTATACACAATGCTTATTATCACATAACACAGATCAAGTTTTAATTTTGGTGGCGTCACTTTTACTGTTCTTAAGTTATGCCCCTTTACAAGTGGAAAAAATGCTGAATTTTTCATTCCCTTCTCTAACTTTAGTTTGCCTTAACCAAATGTTATGAAACTTATACACAATGCTTATTATCACATAACACAGATCAAGTTTTAATTTTGGTGGCGTCACTTTTACTGTTCTTAAGTTATGCCCCTTTACAAGTGGAAAAAATGCTGAATTTTTCATTCCCTTCTCTAACTTTAGTTTGCCTTAACCAAATGTTATGAAACTTATACACAATGCTTATTATCACATAACACAGATCAAGTTTTAATTTTGGTGACGTCACTTTTACTGTTCTTAAGTTATGCCCCTTTACAAGTGGAAAAAATGCTGAATTTTTCATTCCCTTCTCTAACTTTAGTTTGCCTTAACCAAATGTTATGAAACTTATACACAATGCTTATTATCACATAACACAGATCAAGTTTTAATTTTGGTGACGTCACTTTTACTGTTCTTAAGTTATGCCCCTTTACAAGTGGAAAAAATGCTGAATTTTTCATTCCCTTCTCTAACTTTAGTTTGCCTTAACCAAATGTTATGAAACTTATACACAATGCTTATTATCACATAACACAGATCAAGTTTTAATTTTGGTGGCGTCACTTTTACTGTTCTTAAGTTATGCCCCTTTACAAGTGGAAAAAATGCTGAATTTTTCATTCCCTTCTCTAACTTTAGTTTGCCTTAACCAAATGTTATGAAACTTATACACAATGCTTATTATCACATAACACAGATCAAGTTTTAATTTTGGTGGCGTCACTTTTACTGTTCTTAAGTTATGCCCCTTTACAAGTGGAAAAAATGCTGAATTTTTCATTCCCTTCTCTAACTTTAGTTTGCCTTAACCAAATGTTATGAAACTTATACACAATGCTTATTATCACATAACACAGATCAAGTTTTAATTTTGGTGACGTCACTTTTACTGTTCTTAAGTTATGCCCCTTTACAAGTGGAAAAAATGCTGAATTTTTCATTCCCTTCTCTAACTTTAGTTTGCCTTAACCAAATGTTATGAAACTTATACACAATGCTTATTATCACATAACACAGATCAAGTTTTAATTTTGGTGACGTCACTTTTACCATTTTAAAGTTTTACCCCTTTACAAATGAAAAAAATTGCTGAATTTTTCGTTTCCGCTCTCTGACTTAAGTTTGTCGTAACTAAATGTTTTGAAACTTATACACAATGGTTAATATAACATAACACAGATTTAGTTTGAATTTTGGTGGCATCACTTTAACCATTTTAGAGTTATGCCCCTTTACAAATGGAAACATTGCTGAATTTTTTGTTTCCATTCTCTAACTTAGTTTGCTTAACCCAAATGTTATGAAACTTATATACAATGCTTATTACCACAAAACTCAAATCAGGTACGAATTTGGGTAGCGTCACTTTTACTGTTCTTGATTTATGTTCCTTTTTAAAATTATATGCAAGCGGTGGGTGGCATCATCTGTGTCCAATGGACACATTCCCCATTTATTTAAATGAGCATTAAGAGAGACTATTTAGACTTAGAAAAAATCTGAAACAAAGGAGATGTGTAGTGTCTAGCTATTAATGAGACATTAACCAAATGATAGAAAACAAAGAGGGTCTAGTGAGCTATTTTCATCATCCATCTGTTACTTTTTACAAGTAGCATTTTCTGTGAAACTACAGGGTCAATACAAACCCAAGTTGTCCACATCATTTGCTGTCTGGTTTAACAAATTTGTCCTATGATCCCACCTGCCAACCAACTAGGCATAAAATAGAACATCGGGGGAAAATGGCAAGTTTTGTTGATCATTATTTTAAAAACCTCTATAGATAGAGAAAATTTGAAAGTGGCAAAAATGTTTAGAATGTTGAGATCTTCCTACTGTTTACTTTTATTAAGACTGTTAGATGACTTCTAATAGGAGTTATCGCCCTAAAATGACAAAGATTACCTATTTTTACACTTTTGTGTATTATCTTAAAAAATATGAGAGAAACTTTTAATAGCAAAAATGATCATCAGGACAAATTGTACAATTCACTTGAACATGGTCTAAATCTTCAAACGACCCTTTACATGACTCATTGCCTTAGATAAATACTTTTACCTTTTTTGTATTTTTGTGCATTATCTTGAAAACTAAATAATATATAGATAGAAACTTTAGAAAGCAAAAATTGTCAGCAAGACAAATTTGGGAACATAGTAAGAATTGTCTTTGACTTCTTATAGGAGTAACTAGCCTTAAATGATGGTTTTTACACCTTTTTGTGTTTTTCGCAAAAGCTATAATACATAGAGAGAAATCTGATAGAAAAAAATTATCAGTGATACCAGATCAACAAAAAAGAGATTTCAGTCATGCATCATATTCTACTCTTAATATTGGAGAGTGGCTACTTCTGATAATGCACATAGAAACTGGCGAGCCACGCAGGCTCTTTAATGCCCAAGTAAATCTGTATCTGTATAATACTAGAAATGAATTCAAGTATTGCTGAGTAAAATTTATCCAGGATATTCTGTTTTGTGTTACCTCATGCTTTGTGTTTGTTCATTGTAGATAAAAAGTTGAAATATGTTGGTACCACACATGATGAGCAGAGATCCACTGAATTAAGAGATACTGTCCAAGGTGTTCCGAACAAAACTGTTGAGGATGTCCACCATAGTGACTGTATTGACTGTCGTACCGTTCAGAAATTATTGGCTGACACAGGAATTGGTGACCTTGACCTTGGACCAGAATATATGTTAGATCTAGAAACAAGTGACCATACAAACAATATGCCAGACGAATTGTTAGGGGCATGTGCTGCTGAAGTAAGCCCTGATCATGGACATCAATCTAGCCCTGCACATGGCATTTCTAATGATTTGACAATCGTTGATTTTGATGGTGCTTCTACAAATAATAAAACTTTCCCCACAGGTGGCGCTTTTGGAATTATAAAAAATCTCTCGGCATCAAATATAGACTTTGGGGAAGACAACAAAACAAAAACTTTCTCCACAAAACCAAAAATCACAAATACAATAGCAAACAATACAGGAGATTTGTTGCCTAAAACTAGCAATATATGTTGGTCCAACCTTAGCAGACAGAAAAAACAGAGCAATCATGACAGACAATATATGGAGTTTGAACTGGCTGACCAAGCTTCTGGTGGCCAGACAGGAGAAGATAACTCTTTAAAACCTTCACAAGTAAACCAGAACAATTTCGACCTACAACTCTCCTTGAAACAGTTCATGAACGAGCTCACTTTACATGGTTGTGAAGAATTCGAGAATAAACCCTCAGAAGATCAAGAAGGCAAAACAAGGGAGACAACAAATTTAGATTTACCTATGTTGAATGTTAAGGGAGATAACTCAGATCTTTCTTTAGATTTAGACATGTCAGTTAAAAGTGGATATGACCCTTCTATTAAACTTTCAAGTGATGAACCAGGACCAAATCATACAGCAAATCTAGAACTAACTGCAGATCCAGATTTAACTGCTGATCTGGAATTAACGTCAGATCTGGAATTTGACGATGATATGCACGAAGCAGAAACAGTAGTTACAAACTTTCTCAATGCACAAATGTTAAAAAATTTTACACTTGAAGCTCAAGTTGAAGATTTTCAGGAAATTAACAACCTCCCTTCTCCTGGTGCCTCTGTAGATCCATCATTTTTAAACCAGACAGATGATCCAAGTCGTACAGATTCTACAGTAGAATCTGTAAGTGAAATTGGTGATGATAGTAATATCCAGAACAGTTCCGGAATGGAAGAGAATGATTGTGACGATAAGTCAACATTTGTGTAAAGTTATTGCATTTATTTATTGTACTTCAGACTTTGGACATGTTGTAATTTAAAGCTTAAGATAACTTTGTTTAACAGCGATCATAAGACTATAAATAGCTTCAATCCGTTTAGTAATCCAATTTAAAGTCAAGTTATGGAACAATGTATTACAGTTAAACTTATTAAAACTGAATCTTTTGAAGATTGGGTAAATAGTCAGTTAGACAGGTGATTGATTTCATTGATTGTCATGATATTAAAGTTTAGCTTGGAACAGATTTAGTTTGTTTTTAAAATGTCATATTAGACGAGTTTCTACATATTTCAATTTTGATAGAAAAATTCATTGTTACAGGTTTACATAAAATGACAGAAATTAAGATGTTATTCCTGTTGAATGTTAGATAACCTGTTAGAGTTCTATTACAGCTTATATATAATATAATTGGCTGAACTGTAAATTAAAATCTTTGCTGCATAATTTTAGTTCCATACTCTATAAGTTTTTATGATACAAAGGAAAATCAGATTTTAAATAGCTTTGAATTCTGGATCAACCCTTTTCTATCAGTGTCCAAGTGCCTCACAGTACCAACTAAGGAATATGACAATAATTTTCAAATGATCTAATTTAAAGAAATTTCTATTTAAGCCAATTAATATGAACATTTGACTTTTTTAATGGCATTGCTCATGTTGATGTTTATTTAGGATATTTGTTATTGGTCAGTCTTCATTTGTATCAAATGATAATTTTAAAATGCATTTTCAATTTAAAAGAGATAATAGCACACTTGACCAAAGCAGCCATTTTGAAATGATTTTCCTGGATGTCATAAGTGATTTAATGCCTATGATAAGTCACATTTGGCTTATTTCACAAAAATTGTATTTGAAAAAACTCCACACATTATCTGTTTTTCTCTATATCATAACATTCATAATTGAGGGATTGAGCAATCATGTCCAGTCTACCTTTGTTGTTTCAGCAATATTAGCTATATTGCCTTCTAATAATATCTGTAATGCCTTCATATCAAATTACATGCAATATATTGTAGAATGCTTTAGCATGGAGTAAACTTTTAGTGATCATTTTACAGTCCATTTTGTTTGTTTCACACATTTGAATTAAAGTTTCTAGGTTAGATTTTTTATCAAAGGAAACTTTTTTGTATTTGCTTCATAAAAACTTAATTCTGAAAGAATTAAGAGGGTAAACCTTTTTTAAAATGTTTGTAAATTTACTTTTACAAGATAAAATGCAAGCATGATTATAAGGTTTATGGATGACAAAGAGAAACATAAAGAATTGAAAGAACTTTTCATGAAAAGTTTTGTTGGAAGATAAAGCACCTTGTCATCTGTCACCTCTGTGACTCATTAAAGGTCTGCTTCTTTTTTATTATTCATTTTATGAGACGGAAAACTGCCAATATTCGGCTTAGATTAATGAAAAGATATTTTTAAAATATTTGTAGTTAACCTTTGTCAGTGGTAAGTCATCGTTTTTGAAGAATTGGATAATCTTTGAATAATATTTGTTTTGTGACCAGATATAAGCCATGTAAGAATATAGATATACAACTGATTACAAGTCAGCGGCTCTTTTCACAAAAAAACTTAAAGAGTAAAAATACTTGTAAGTCATACACATTTCAGTATAACTTACGATCAATTTTAATCGTAAGATTTTTTGTGAAAAGAGTCGCAGATGTTTACTATTACAAAGTACATTGAACATAGATAAAGTTACAGGTTTGTTCCGACATGTCATTTGATTTAAGGGTAACAATCTAAGGGAGGGAACTCTTTATTGCCATTCTCTATTTCAAATTGATCTCTTTTTGTCTGTGTTTGTTTTTTATATAGAGGATCTTTTAAAAAAACTGTAGTTAGTTTTGATAGTTTATTTAGAAAAATTGTTTAGTTGTTATAATTTTATTAGAACTCCACAAAGAAAGCCAAGTTTGAGATGTTTTATTTTTTGAAGATTAATATCAGGTAAAAACATATTTGTCTGTTTTCTATTGCCATAATAATAAAGTTGGAAATTGCATTTTTTTATCTATTTATTTTGATTTTTTTTATATCAATAAAATTGAAAAAATTGGATAATTTCTCATAGAGATATCTGAATTTGAACTACACATCTAGTACTTCAATCAATGATAGGACAATGTTTTTTCTTGATTTTGGTCAATTTTGTGACAATTTAGAATTTTTCCTAAATAAGTCAGTGGAAATAGGATCATCAGGCCATGGAACAACACAAAAAAGTTATTAAAAAATTTATTACAGAGTCATTAAAGTATTATAGGGTCAATGTCAAACTTTAGTAATAACTAATTAATTGAAAAGAACTACACATATATCTAAATTTGATCATTTCATTACAATCTAGACTTAATCAGATGCCATTCAAAATGGGAAAATATACCTACTTTAAATCTAACTTGGAGTACTGTCTATTAATAATGAACATATATTTTTAGTAAATTCCAAAGAAACCTCCCAATATATCTAAGTTTGTTTTATTTTGTTGTTGGGTTGCTTTCTCATTGTTATATATCAACATCTCATTTTGCTGATTTTTTAAATATTTTATTTCAAATATTGAGTTTTAAGTTGGGAAATTCATTTGAATATTTTCCAAATATATAAGAAAGCTTTTTGTATGTAGAATAATTTGTAATAACAAGCTTGTAAGAACTTTTTTATGTATTTAAACATAAGTGTTTAACGATTTTTTTTTACTTTTAATTTGTCATGTCAAAGTATCTGAGGTTTGTGCTTATTGATAACAAGTTGTAGTGAATATTTTTTATAAGTTTTAAAGTTTTCTAGAGAATTGATTTTTGTAACTTTTTTGAAAGAGTGCCATTTTCAAGAATAAGTACTAGGGTCATTGAAAAAAAATCTTTTATTCAAGTTTTATCTTGTTTTATAGTATGAGCTGTATTTCTGTTCAGTTTTCTTCTTTGCTTGTTCTCAAATAGTGTGACAAGAGTTGTTGTTATTTTCCTATTTTACGTACAATCATTGTGAAGCCTATCCTTTACAATCATGGACACCATTGTTTCAATTTGTTAAACTGTTCTGTTTGCCTTACGTTCATTATCAAAGTGGACTTAAACACTTAAAAACTGATGCAAGACATCTTTTTTATACATTTGAATTATTTGTAGTCTGACACTTTTGTTTCCAAAAATGTCCAAAAATTGTAGATTCAAAAGAATGTTTATAATAAAGGCGGGCCTTAAGAAACAGTAATTTTTTATTTACCTAAAGCTTCAATGTGTGTAGGATTTTATAAAATACTTAATTTGTAAATTGTGTCATTTTCTATCAACATACAGTATCCACCTCATGTATAACTGATGGTAATTTAACACCCCAGCAGAGCAATAGTTTATAGCCATATTTCTTTGACTTTATGAGAAGAGATCTTTTTTTCTGGTTTCACATTCAAACTCATAGTTTTTGTATACTAACAAAAATTAACATGTGACCACAGCTCAATTACATCATTTGATGTATTTTCATTGATCTTCAAGGTTTTAATTTATTATGTATTAAATCCATTTTTACTTTCATGGTGATTAATTCTGTTTTGTAAACCATCTGTCAAAGTAAATTTATATTTTCACCCGAGGAATGAAATTTAGTAATAAAGAATATCGTAACATATTTACATACACAGAGTTTACTGTGAATTCAGAAATATGTGCTTTTATAAATGTGAAAATGCAACAGGATGAAATTCACAATATTAAAACATTGTTTTTAATTTTACTTGCAGACCTACAATAATCTGAAGATTTGAAAATTTTTCTGCTGAAGTTCAGGCCTCACAAATGACACATCTTTATCGATGTTTGTCAGTGTTAATTTTTCAATTTAAACTACGTACAATTTTTTTTCATTGATAAGGTCATGGCCAATGTACATTATTATGATTTCTTCTTCTACCAAGATAAATATGGAACCTTGGTTTTTTGTCTCACCTTGACGGAGTCAAAAAGCGAGACGTAGGTAGGCTGTTTCCGACGTTGAAGGCGACTGCGGCGGCGTCAACAATGTATTAGTTTGTTATTAGGTCTAGTTCATGGTGAACCACTATTGGTAGGTCAATGATATTTGGTATGCAGTTGTATTAGCATTGGCACATCTGATTACCATAGAGATTATTTGGGGCCCGCCCCCTCAGTCAAGGTCTATTGACTTTGAAACTTTTCATAGTTTACATGTATTAGTTTGTGATTAGGTCAATTTATGGGGAACCACTAGTGGTAGGTCAATGATGTTTGGTATGCAGTTGTAAAAGCATTGGCATATCTCATTTCCATGGAGATTATTTGGCCCCGCCCCCTTAGTCATGGTCTATAGACTTTGTGAAAATTTTGCTAAGTTAACATGTATTAGTTTGTGATTAGGTCAGTTCAAGGGGAACCATTAGTGGTAGGCCAATGTTAATTGGTGTTCAGTTGTATAAGCATTAACACATCTCATTTCCATGGAGAATATTTGGCCCTGCCCCCTCAGTCATGGTCTATTTACTTTGAAACTTTTGCTTAGTTTACATGTATTAGTTTGTGATTAGATCAGTTTAAGATGAACTGCTAATGTTAAGTCAATGATATTTGGTATGCAAATTTATTGGCATTTGCAAGTATCGTTTCCATGGAGATTATATAGCCCCACCCCTGATAATGGTTCATTGACTTTGAAACTTTTACATAGTTTACAAGTTAATGTTTTTGTTTAGGTTTGTTTAAAGGGAATGACTTATAATAAGTCAATGGTATTTGGTATGCAGTTGTATTAGCATTGGCACATCTCATTCCATGGAGATTATTTAGCCATGTACCTTCAGTCATGGTTCATCGACTTTGAATATTTGCATAACTTACATGTTAAAGTATTGCTATTTTAATTTCAACATTTGCGTTATCAAAATTGCAAAAAGGCGAGATATATCTCTGTGATAACAGTTTATTTCATTTTGAAAATATAATGTTGTTATAGTTTTGCACACCTGCATCACAGATGTTACTTATCAAAATAAATAAATAAATAAATGGGTTTTCAGGGAAGGATACATCAACATGCATATATTTTAGGAATGACTGTAATATTTTTTCTGTCTATGAAGAAATAACATAAAAAATGTGGTGCACACTGAATAACCTGCGTAGTGGGTTATTTTAAAGTGTGCACCACATTTTTGATATGATTTCGAATAGACAGAAAATATATTACAGTCATTCCTTACAATTTAATTCTAAAGTCAATTTTAAGCCGGAGTAAATCATGAAAAAATGATGATGACATCACGGTCACATGACAAAATTATGTCTATGAGCTGATAGACAAAACACCCTCAACCAATCAGAAGACATGTTATATCCAAAATTAAATTAATTGTATATAAAACTCTTAGATCTAATAAATTGGTTGTTTAAGACTGACCATAATTGTATACACATTATAATCTGATTTTACATTTCATAATTTCTATTTATAGAACAAGTCACATGGTGTATATTTGTTACTGGATATTTATTTGTTTACATATGAGATTATTCGTTGTGTTCTTATTATTTTTAGCTTAAAGCACCAAGTTATATTTGTATGCACAAAGTATAATTATATATTTTTATATCATTCATCAGAGCCGTATATTATGTTTCTCATAGATGAAAATGATAACTACATTGTACAAGAGCTTTTTCCTGTTCTTTACTAACATTTTCCACTGGTCTCTCAGTTTGCCATCAGAATAATCATTTTGTCGTGAAACTCATTTTTTACCATTTGATTTTTTTTTATCTGAAAACATTTTTTCCAGACATTAAAGCAGACTTTAAATAATATTGAAAAATATGACACAATAAAATAAGATTACTCAGTTTGTTGTAGTAGTGATGTTAGCTCTTGTTTGATTTTTTTTACAATTAAAACACTGTAATACATGTTAAGATATTCTATTTAAATATTTTGATACATTAACTTTTATTGAAACCAAAAAATTTTGCTAGGAATCAGATAAAAAAAATTGTATTAAAATTCTCCATGTTATAATGTTGTAATGTTAACTATCTCATCCTTTATCTTACCTGTCAACTTGTAACTATCACTCATATATAAAGTAGGATGCAGAGAGATTGTTGTGATTGCTTAACAAATGATAATGAAATGCTTTTAAATTGTTAAAAATGTATACACCTAATACTGGATTATGGTTCATTATCACATTTTTACAGGAATCACTGAATTTTGTGATTGAGTTATTAAATCATGTTATTTGATAATTTAAAAGTTAAAAAAAACCACTTATCTCAATGAATGAAAGTTGTAGAAAATTAATTTACATGAGTATCTATTTTCATTCCAGGTTTTCTAAGCATCAATATTTGATAGATACCAGTATGTTTGTTTGTTTCTAAATTCTTATGTACAAAAATGCCCTGCATCTTTTTTCTATAAATGCACAGCCAATTTTTTTTATATAAGATAAGGACCAGTTTTAGACTGAGGAATGATTTTGCTATTTATTGTTGTTTTATTTATAATGTTTGAGAAGCTTAACAAATTGATGTGTATTAGATCTAAATAAATACTATATTGCTATATATGTGTTATTGTCTCTGTATACATCAAAGTAAAGTATTATTGTCAGCTACTAGATACGTAAGCTAAAAAATCTTGAATACATATTGTACATTTATGTTATTACTACTGGGTGGGTGAGGATCCTGGTAAAGGAAAAGATAATATTAGTCTTGGTGGGTCTACCTTGGGATTCCTTGTAGCCTGTTTGTTTCGGAACTGGCATGCTTCGATTTATACATTTCACTACAAACCAGTAAAAGTCTGAAATGGCCTATATCTGTACTTGACTGAACTGATTTTTACTCGACCAGTCTGAATTTTTCTGAAATTTTACTTGATATTACTCAACTGTAGTCTGAACCATACTTAACAGTCTGAACTTGTATTCGACCTTTACCCAACCAGTTTATACGAGTCTGAACCATACTCGACATGGTCAAAACCTTTCACAACCTAGTCTGAATCATACTTGACACGGCCTAACCATTCTCGACCTAGTCTGAAGCATACTCGACCTAGTCTGAACCATACTCAACCATACAATGTATATCACATTTAGAATAAAGATAAAACAAGATGATGAAAGGAGGTAATTTCTGATTGGATTAAAAAAATATCAAGTGATGAATTAAGTTTTTGTTAAATGAATTTTTATATACATTATATCATGTTCACATTGCTTTATGTACATCAAAAAGGTAAATGGACAGAAAGTCACAGGATAGAAAGTCATAGGACAAAAAGTCACAAATAATTTGTTGACAATTATATGAATATATAAGAGAAAGATCATGAAATATATTCTTTTGATTTCATTTATTCATTTTACAGTATAGGAAATAGCTCATTAGCCTTGATAAATTAAACATTATTGAATTTTAAGCTTGCAAAGGATGTGTTTTTGGCACCATGAAGCCATTTACATGCCAAGACTCTTTGACAATTTGTTTTCTGAGCAATTGTTTGATCATTATTGAAATTTATGAGTTGTTTTATATAAATAGTTGAAGAAAAATACAAAATGTTTTTTTAAAAAGAAGTGTTTTCTTATTCAAAGAAAAATAATCTCAAAACTGAATTGTGACTTTTTGTCCTGTGACTTTTTTGTCCTACATTCCATCAAAAATACTAGAAATTTCAACCATTATTCAAATAACTTGAAAATAATGCTATTCATTTTTTTTTATCAAAATATATATAAAAATAGTATATAAAGCAACTTAATAAATGTTTACATCAACACTTTTGTTTTAAAAAACCAAGAATTTAATATAATAATAATAAAACTTTCATAGCAATCCTTAATAACCTTTTAAAAAAGGAAATGTATTCCAAAGTTGCAGTAGATATTTAATTTAATTTTAATTTAAAAAGTGTTGTCAAAATTAAAGACTTGGCATACAAGAAGCACTTTTACAAGGTTAAAATACCTTAGTACAAGTGTGTTTTACAGGTAAAAAGAAAACCCTATTTTTCTCACACTCGTGTATTACTTATCTATTGAATTCAAAAGGCCTTGTGATTTTTAAAGTTTTACAGGTGAGGATGTTGTAATTTTCAATGATGTTATTTAAAATTTATTACTTTCTGACCAGGTGTGATCTTTTTAATCAGTGTGCCCCAAGCAGGATGTATTACTTTATACCCTTAATTATAAGAACTTTTTTTATATCCCTTTTTATACGCCTGTTTACAGGACGTATTATGGTATAATGTTGTCCGTCTGTCCGCCGTCGTCAACATGTCGGACATTATCTCAAAAACGCTTTAACCAATTTGCATAAAACTTTAGTGAATTGTTTATATCTATTGACGTGAGCTTCCTTTCCTTTTTTATAAATTTTAGATTTTACCTTTCCGAGTTATGGGGTTTTATTCATTAAAAAAAGGGGGGATTTTCCAGTTTTCAGACAATAACTCAAGAATGCTTTCACCAACTTGCAAAAAAATTTGGTGAATTGTTTATATCTATTGACTTAGCTCCCTTTCGATTTTTATAAATTTTAGATTTTACGTTTCCGAGTTACAGGGTTTTATTCCTAAAAAAAGGGGGATTTTCCAGTTTCCAACAATAACTCAAAATGCTTTCAGTAGTCCTCATGAAACTTTGGTGAATTGTTAATATCTATTGATGTAGGCTCCCTTTAGAATTTTATAAATTTTAGATTTTACATTTCTGAGTTATGGGGGTTTTATTCGTTAAAAAAGGGGGGATTTTCCAGTTTTCGAACAATGACTCAAAAATGCTTTCAGCAATTATCATGAAACTTTGGTGAATTGTTTATATCTATTGATGTAAGCTCCCTTTTGATTTTCATAAATTTCTTATATGACATTGAGAAGTAATTGAACTTTATTCTTTGAAAATGTGACAGGCGTATCATGCGCTCATGGCGCAGCTGTTTATTAAAATATATATATTTCCCAAATTATAATAAGAATAGATATATTTCTGCTGAAAGGTTAAACAATGTCAGAGATTTTGTTGGCTGTTGTTGCCTCATTAAAAGGAGAGTTATATAACTATAGTTGTATGTAACCATGAAACCAAGGATTTGTATAGTCGTACTATACAAATCCTTGTTAAACCTATGTAGTTTTTATTTAGGAATTTAAGAAAATCAAGTTTTGTTTAAAAAAAACCCCACCTTTGGTCGAGTATGGTTCAGACTGAAAAAAATAGGTCAAGTATTGGTCAAGTACATCAGTACAGTCGAGTACAGATATAAGCCATTTCAGACTTTTACTGGTTTGCAGTGTTTGACATTTAACTTTCAGGTAAAAAAACTGATGTCATAGTATTCAAAATTATTTATGCAGTATCCTGGGATGTGTTGAACATCATATATAGTTTAGCTTTTCTGTTTAACCGCACTTAGTTTGTGTGCTTTCAAATGCTTGTATACATTGTTTTTTTAAACTCCCAGTCTTGAGCATACCTGAATACTATAACTTACAGTAATATTTTATAGAGCACATGTCTTGTTCACACGGGAACGTATATAATACATATAGTATAACTAGATTTTTAGAAATTTCAAGGAAACAGGTGTCAACTCCCTCAGGCAAAGTCACCTTAGAAGGATTTGTTTAGGTCCTTTTTGGTCATATTCTCTTCAACTGTTTTGGTACTTATACATCATTGGCTTTCAGATATTTGACTTTGATTGTTTGGGTTTTTAAGCAGTTAAGCTGCTTTATGCGAGCACCCTAGATTTGTGTTCTACCCAATAAATGCTGAAATATGTGCCATTGTTATTATCTGGCTGGCTATTATGTTATTTATAACTAATTGAACACTTTTTTCATACTTTTAATTCTGGAATACAAAAAATATGACCAGAAAAACCTTAAATGATCGTCGAACCACCCAAAAGTTTTGAAGTTGCACATAGGAAGTAGTGCTCAATAGAAATCCTTATGTAGTTTATTATCCCCTGTGCTTTTGGCCAAGATGTCAAAGAACAATTGCATGAATTATTTCATCGCCGAAAATCTCTAATTACAAGTCGTTTACAGTTGCCAAATGGCACAAAGCGCAGGAATATTGTATAACGGCTGTGACTAATATGACACGGAGTTGAAGTCTCAGTTGGCGGTAATTTTAACTTCGTCGACAAAACGTAAATCAAGGACGTTTTAAATTTGGTGATTGTTGATAATAATCATTTTGTTCAACCGCTAGCTTTATACCGAAAATCGCCAACATGTTATGTGTAAATCCGAGTAAATCGTATCTGACTGACAAAAACAACTTTGAAAAACAATGGATGCCATAAACCGGAAATGAAGACAATTATAATACCGGATCTAATTCCGGGAGCGGATAGGGTAATTCCGGGTTTGCCGATCAAATACAATAAAAATATAATAATTCCAGGCATGAGACAAAATACATCTATCATGATGAAATATAAACTCTAGAATTGAAAACCAAAGATAAATTGAAAAGAAAGAAAAAGCAGGAAATATTTTATACAGAAACTCAAAATTACTTTTAGTGCACAAATTTTCATGTCAAAAACCAATAAAATGTGACAGTATTTTCCTTATCATTAATAAATATTGATATTACATGTAGATGTTTTTATTGTTTAAACATATTACTACAATTCCATGAGGTAATTTCTTCTCAATTTTGAAGGGCCTATAAAAATCTGGAAGTTTCTTACTTTATTTTCACAGAGGAACTAGCTAATATAATATATAGTGCAACTAGATATGATACACTTAAACAGTTTTGAATTTGAACTGTTTAATATAATGGTATAATTAGTAATAAATAATCAATTGTTGAGACAACACACCCACCCACAGTGATACCCTCAGCCTCCCTCAGCCTTCCTAATACAAAAAAAAAAGATTATTTGAATTCATAAATTAATATACAAGACAATTACATTTATTATTAAACAAGTTAAACGACAGTGACACTGACAATGAAACAAGCTAACTTAACACCAAAAGCACATTAAAGTATCTTACTGAGTTATGAACTATTTCAAGTAAAAGCAGGACCTGGAATTTAGGTTGTGGACCTTTCAGTTTGGAGTGTCAAAGGTCCTGGACTGTCCAGTACCAAATGTAATTTTAACCCCTGCATTCACAGTAAAGCGATTTTGACGTGTATTGCAATTCCAAGTAGAATTTACTTTTGGACATTAAACGTTTCGAATGCGTATTAAACTAATTCAAATCAGTTAATAATGTGAATCGAATTCGAATTATGTGTGAACGCAGCATTGATATATCTAATAAATGAAGAATATTAAAAAAAGATGGACAAAATATTTGTATTAAATTTGTTGCAATTTTTGTCTTGCCTTGACAGAGTCGAAAAGTGAGACATATATATATATATATATAGGCATGCTGTTTTGGCGGAATCAACAATGTATTAGTTTGTGATTTTGTGATAAGGTCTGGTTTCTGGTAGGTCAATGACATTTTGTAAGTAGTTGTGTTAGCATAGGCACATCTCATTACCATAGAGAATATTTGGCCCCACCCCCTTAGTC